ACCTCGGGCACGCCCCCAGCCACGGGCCCCGTCACCTGACAGGATGTCCCATGACCACCTCCCTCGGCCCGCTTCCCCCCAGGGTCTGAGTGCCCCTGGCTGAGATCACTTCCCTCTGGGAAGCCACCCCCAGAGGGGGGGACCCTGTGGCCGAGGCTGGCCCGGCCGGGGAGGAACGGTGGGGAGGCCGAGGGGCAGGCGGTGGGGGCTCAGGGCCTCCCCCCCCATGGACCCACTGGCTTCCTCTTAAGACCAAGAGGCGGGGGCTGAGACCCGCATCCCCTCCTCGAGGTGTGGGGGGGTCAGATGGAGACTGAGTAGCCAGGGCAGGAACCTCGCCCCACTGACCACTGCAGGCCAGCTGAGGGAGGGGGCCCCTGCCTGGGCTAGCACCAGGCTCAGCTGAACCCCTCAGAAACCAGTGCGGCCCAGCCTCCCCTTCATGGTGGATCACTGTTCCCAGCCCTTGGCCCTCACCCTCCCAAGACCTCCCCCCTCTGGACCTCAGTTTCCTCAGCTGTAAAATGGGAATGATCCAGGCGGGGTGAGATGGCACATAGTAGGGGCTCAGCGAGGCCGCTCTTGCTGCCCCTCAGCCCCTCAGTCTGGGCCTCTGGGTTTCCTGTTTTCCTTTCTCTTCATCCTCAAACTCTTCCGTCTCTGATCTCTGATCCACACTCCCTCCCTGTCTGCCGCCCACACCCCCGTCCCCGGGGGCCAGCCCCAAGTCCTCCCACTGACACTTGACCAAAGCCCTCGCCCCTCCCCGGCTTCAGCTGGAAAGAGGGTGGAATTCTTCAACCAAACATTCTTCAAACCCAAGGAGGGAAGGAGGGAGTGACTTCAAAGGCAGTCGGCTCAGGGACACGGGGCTTGCAAAGGGGGCGCTGGACTCCGCCGTCCCATGCGGATGTGGCTCCTTGTGGATCCGGTGTCCTGGAGGCTGGAAGGTGCTGGGGGCCACTCAAGGACACCCACAGAATGACTGGAAGGACCAGTGGAGCCTCCAGGCCACCAGCCCAAGGCCGTGCTCGTCCTCCTCTCCAGCCTCGTCTCAGACCGTTGTTCTGTCCGCAAATCTAGGCCAAGGCCACTGCAGAGGAGCCTTTGGGTTTCCAGCTCTGCTCCCTTGGAAATCTCAAGATCCAAGTCCAGGCAGGTCACCAGGGAGCCAGCTCCCCCCAGCCTGGTCCTCTGGTCCTCAGCCGGCCAAGGGCAGGAGAGCTGGACGAGGGGCAGGCAGCAGCCGAGGCCCAGCGGGGTGAGGCCCGGTGGGGAGGGCATCAGCCGCCCTAATTACTCGGCTCTCCAGGTTCCAATCTGGTTTCAAAAGGGCCCCAGGGACACAGCCCTTAATAACTACCAGTAAACAGGCAGGCAATCGATGGCTGGTGGACGAGCCCGGAGAGAGGGAGGCCTGGGCTGGCGGCCAGAGCAGCCTGCGGGGCCTGGCTGCAGAGGGGCCGCACCCAGCTTTGGGCCCCTGGTCTCCCCAGCTGCAGGTCCACTCCCCGCTCCCTCACCACCAGGACCCCAAGCTCCTCCTCTGGCTTTATGTCTGGGTCCTAAATCTGACCTGACCCTTTTTTTTCCAGAAGCCATAACAATGAAGGAGATTAAGACAAAAGCTGCTTTACCAACAATGGCGGGAGACCCTGGAAGGCTTGCTAGAGGGGGTGGGCCCGCAGAGGACCCTGGTGATGAACAGGTGGGGGGCTGTGTGTGATGACCGTCATGTGATCACATGTGGCCCAGTGCTCTGCTAAGTACTTTCTTCTTGTCTCCCAGGAATTCTTTGGGGGAAAGTGAACACCTCCACTTTACAGATAAGGACGCTGCTCTGTGTGGAGCCCGGGTTTGCACCTCTGAGGCTTCTGAGCTGCTTCTCCCCCTCCCCACAGCCTCCACCCTCCCTCACAGCTCGGGGCTTGATAGCGTGGTCCCCATCTCTTCCTGTCCCCTCAACAGGTTGTGCTTCCCAGGGACCCAGCACCTTTATCCTTGAGGCTCACAGGACATGGAAGCCTGTCGCATGCCCTCCTGTTGCAGACGGGGAAACTGAGGCCTTGGAAGAGGGGGACTAGGGCACCAGAGCAGGTGGAGAAAGGACCTGGGGTTGCTCGCTAGCTGGCTCTCTCCTGGTCCCGCCCCGGGGGAGCCTCGCCAGGGGAGAAATCGATCCTTGCACACTCAATTAAAATGATAAGTCAGCCAGCAGGTGGGGGTGGCCCGGAGGCCGAGTCTTCCTGAGATTGTCTGGAACATGGCAGGGGCCCAGGGACCTCATTCCCTGGGGCCACTCTCCCCACGACCTCCGCCCACCTCTCTGTATCCACAGCTCCATGCCTCGGTCTCCCCAGCTCTCGGGCCCCAGGCGCTGGGGGTGCAGAGGTGAGCAGAGCAGCTGAGACCCCCACCTTGGGAGCTGACAGCTGGAGGGGACACAGTGAAGGAGCCCCAGGTTACGTGTCATGTCAGGCCGTGGTGAAGAGCCAGGGAGAGAGAGAAAGCAAGGTGACAGGCAGCTGTCCCAGGGCAGCCCACTTATTAGGGGGCCTGGAGAGGTCTTCCCAGGGAGGTGACGTCTCAATGGAGACCCGAAGGAGAAAAGAGCCCTGAGAACGCCGGGACGTGGCTAGGTCACATTCAGACAGGAGACAACTGAAGCAAGGGCCCTGAGGAGGGACAGTGCTTGAGACATTTGGGGACAGCAAGCAGGCCAGGGTGGCTGGAGTGCAGTGAGAGGGGACAGGAGGTAATAAGTCAGAGAGGACGGTGGAGCCAGACGGCACGGGGTTTTGTAGGTCACAGCAGAGACTTTGGCTTTTATTCGCAGGGAGCCCAAAGCGCTGGGGATTGTAAGCAAAGCCGAGGCTGATGTGACAGGCTGAGCCGGATCTCGGGGCTGCCATGTGGGGACAGATGGCAGTGGGCAAGGGCAGTCGCTCAAACTAGTTATGAGTCTCCTGCAAAAGTCCAAGCCGTGAGGTGCATGGCTTGGCACAGGTGGGGTGGGTGAGGTGGGGGGATGGTCAGGTGTGGAGGGATGTGTTTGAAGGCGAGGTGACTGGGCTGTGGACACGTGGAACATAGGAGGTGGATGCAGAAATCCAGAAGGAGTCCAAGGTTTGTGGGTCCAAGAATGAGCAGCCCAAAGATTTCAGTCAGGGCAGGCCCCCAGCAGGTGGAGATCAGAGTTGGAAGGTCAGGAAGTCCGGACTTGAAATGAGGCTCTCTGCCTCCAGCCCTGGGGTTACCCCTACACGGGACCTTCCAGCAGCCCTCTGTGAGCGCGCAGGGATGTGTCATGGATTAACATCACCCCCACTTTCATGATGGGGCCCCTGAGGCCTGGGGAGGCTTCGGGGCCAGGCATTCCTTCTGCAGATGCCAAAGGAACCCAGCAAAAGAGGCTCTGCCAAGTCCCGCAGCCGGGACCTCGGGTGAGCGCTGGTTAACCTAGAGTGTCCCATGGAGCCTTGCTCTCGGGCAGTACCCAGAGCTCCGGCAAACGAGGAACAGCTGGCTGGAAGTGAAGTCTCAGTGCCCTAGTTTACAAAATGGGGCACCCGTTAGTACCCACCTGGCCGGGTATCCGGCGGCTCTTACGTGGGCTTCGTAGGAGCGCTCAGCAGAGCCCTCTAAAGAGCAGCAAGTCAGCAAATGTTTGTTGAAGGAAGGGACAACTAGACAAAGAGATGAATGAAAAAAATTAATAAGTGGAGGAGAGAATGGAGAAGGCCCGTGTGGGTACAGGTTTTGAAGCGGAAAAGAGCAGCCCAACCCAAACGGACCCGTGCGCCCACGAACGGATTCACCCGCTCCTTCAGCCGCATCTCCTGAGAGCAGTGCTGGGGACATGGATGTCCACAGACGGGCAGCCCCTGTCCTTGGGGCGGTCACATTCTAGCAGAGGGAGACAGAACCCAAGATAAGTGGGTAAAATGGAAAGTGTATCAGACAGAGAAAGTGGAACAGCGCAGGAGAGAAGGAAGCATGTGGGGCGCATAGGAGGTGGGGACCGCAGGCGTGACTGGTGCAGGGATGAAGGTGTGAACTAAGGCTGCAGAATAGGCGCAGGTGTGACTGGGAAGCGTAATGGTGGCCGCAGGTGTGGACCAACTAGCGGAATGATTGCGGAATGAAGGAAGGAGCGCATGAGTGCGTGGACGGAGGCGTGGCTCTGTGGGTGGAGGCGTGGCTACGTGGACAGAGGCATGGCTATGTGGACCGAGGCGTGTTTATGTGGCTATGTGGATGGAGGCGTGGCTACGTGAACAGAGGTGTGGCTATGTGAGAGGAGGCGTGGTTGTGTGAGCAGAGGCGTGGCTATGTGAATGGAGGCGTGGCTGTGTGGACGGAGGCGTGGCTATGTGAGTGAATGAAGGAAAGAATTATGGAATGAATAAATGGAGGAGGGCTGGGATCCACCAGCTAAGATGAGCAGATGACCCAGCCCGGAGTGAATGAGTGAGCTCATGGCAAGAACTGCATGCCACTCCACGCCTGGCCTGGCTCCCTGCTGGTGGGGTCCTGCCTGGTCTGAGCAGCCCCACCTCCTCTGCCCTCCTCCCCCAGGACCTCTGCGCCTTTTGTGGCTGGGGCGCTCACTGTCCTGGGCCCCCCAGGCCGTGCTGACTTCCTTCCCCAGCTGTCCTGGGCCGAGCCTTGGCTCACTTTCCCACCCCGTCCTCGGCTTCACATCCCACCCGCCAGGCGAGGCATGGGCAGGACCTTCCGCCTCCCTCTCCCCAGCCTAGACGGACCCCCCAGTCTGTACTGAGCCCTGGTCCCCTGCCCGTGCTGACCTCCCTCCCCTCCCTGCGTGTGCTGACTCCCTCCTCTTGGTTACTCCCCCCTGGGGACCTGTGCTGAGTCCCCCTGCCCCTCCACCTTTGCTGTCCCCCAGCCCTCTGACCTGACCTGACCCCTACCAGGGCTGGCAGTCTCCACCCACCTGCGGGCCTTGCCCTGCGCTGACGCCCCCTCCCCCATCACAGGCACCATGCGACCTGTGCGGCGAAACTTCTACGACCCGTCATCAGCGCCAGGCAAGGGCATCGTGTGGGAGTGGGAGAACGACGGCGGCGCGTGGACGGCCTACGACATGGACATCTGTATCACCATCCAGAACGCCTACGAGAAGCAGCACCCGTGGCTCGACCTCTCGTCGCTCGGCTTCTGCTACCTCATCTACTTCAACAGCATGTCGCAGATGAACCGCCAGACGCGCCGCCGCCGTCGCCTGCGCCGCCGCCTGGACCTGGCCTACCCGCTCACCGTGGGCTCCATCCCCAAGTCGCAGTCGTGGCCCGTGGGTGCCAGCTCGGGCCAGCCCTGCTCCTGCCAGCAGTGCCTGCTGGTCAACAGCACGCGCGCCGCCTCCAACGCCATCCTGGCCTCGCAGCGCCGCAAGGCGCCCTCCGCGCCCTCCGCGCCCCCCGCGCCCCCGCCACCACCGCCCGGAGGGCCACCTGGCACGCTCGCCGTGCGCCCCAGCGCCACCTTCGCGGGCGCCGCGCTCTGGGCCGCTCCCGCCACCGGCCCCGCGGAACCCACGCCGCCCCCCGGGGTGCCCCCGAGGAGCCCGAGCGCCCCCAGCGGCGCGCCCACCCCCGGGCAGAACAACCTCAACCGGCCAGGGCCCCAGCGCACCACCAGCGTGAGCGCGCGCGCCTCCATCCCACCCGGGTAAGACGGGGCCCTGGGGGAGGGGGCTGTGTCACTGCAGGCCAGGAGAAAGCTCAGCCGCCCACTAGAGCCCGGAGCCAAGATTGCAGTAACAATGCAAATGGCCATTAATGTAGCACCCTTAAGAATTCACCCTGTGTAGAGCTTTACCTGAGGCCGTAAAGCGTTGCCCAGGATGTGTCTCCTGCACAAGGACCTGTGAGGTGAGTATCCTTGCCATCCCCGGGGCACAGGTGAGGTCCCTGAATCACAAAATATTCCCCAAGATGATGCCGTTCACCCCCCAGGCAAGCACTGCGGGTTGCCGCCTCTGTGCTCCTCCGTAGCTAGTTCCTCTGCGTCCCCATTTATTCCGCGGAACAACTCAGCGTTCCCATGGTACAGACAGGGAGACTGAGGTGTGGTGACTTCTGAGGGTCAATCGGGGAGAGCAGAGATTGGCGCCTAGATCTTAGGATTCCTCTATGCACTCTGCTGACTTAGTGAGTTTGGGGCCTTGGGGCCCATCTGAGTCCCTGAGGCTCTTCCCCGGCTGAATCAAGCTTTGGCCGCTTGCCCATAATATTTCCCTGTAATCTGCACCAGAAGTATCACCATCACTTTGGGTTAACTTGCTGGTCTTCAAACTGGGCTCCAGGGACCCTGGGATGACTTGGAATAGCCGCAGGGGCTGGGAGGGGCTGCAGGGAAGACCAGCAAGCAGCAGCCGGGCCCTCTGCCCTCGAATTAGCCAGAGCAGCGCCACTGCTGGAATTCCCTTGTCCAATCTGGCTTTGCCAACAGAAGTTCACGGGGGAAAGAACCCCGTCGTTACTGAGTCTGGAAATCCCTGGGCTAAGGTGCTCCAAGCCCCAGGACTGGGGAGCCAGGGAGCTCCTGCTGGCTGCTCACCCTGGGGCTCAGGCCGGATCTGAGCAGAGGGCCCCGCCTGACCCTCCTACTGAGAGTCCTCAGCCTGGGCCAGAGAGGAAGGAACAGGTGGGTGTGGGCTGTGGTCCTCCAGGGGAGGTGGCAGAAAGGCCAACTCTATCTGTACCACCTTGGACAGCCCAGGAGACTGGCAGCAATGACCTGAGTGCACGACCTTCAGGATCACCACCAGAATCTCCTTGTAATAAACAGAAAGGATAAGATTGGGTAGGATAGGACAAAGTGGCATGTAGCATAGTTCCAACAACTTAAAATTCGCATCATTTCTGCACACGCTTAAGACCTTGCCAGACAAAATTAATTTGCCTTTGATGAAATGTGTTTTCTTCTTCTTCTCCTCTTCCTCCTCCCACTTCCCTCCCTCCTCCTCCTCCTCCTTTGTATTAGGGACAGACCCTAGGGACACTTTATCACTGAGCCACACCCCAGTCCTTTTAAAAAATTTTTTTTTAAATTTAGAGGCTGAGTCTCATTAAGTTGCTGAGGCTGGCCTTGAACTTGGGATCCTCCCTCAGCCTTCCAAGTCACTGGGATTACAAGCCTGTGCCACCGTGCCCAGCTATCACTGGTGAAAGTTTTGAGAGCCATTGTTCTAGGGCAGGCTGGGAATTACTCAGCTTTTCTCACCCAGTATTAATTCTCCAAATGGGGACTATCCCTCATCCATGGAGCTGCAGAAGACAATGCAGTGCGTGTCTTCGTGGAGCATGCAGATGGCCAGGGAGGTGGACATAGGGCCATAAAGGAGTCTTTGGACCTGACCTCTGGAGAGAGGGCAGAACTGGGGGACAGGACAGTATAGGAACAGGGAGCAGTGGTCAGGGAGGACCTCTGAGGAGGGCGCAGATGTGAAGCAGGGCTGTTCCAGGCACATGCATCTCAAGGGGACTTGAAGGCCTGGATGCTCAGGGCAGGAGGAGTGAGGTGGATGCAGGCTGCAGTGTGGGGCACCAGCCAGAGGGGGAAGGGCATCCTGGGCAGGACGAGTGCCGAGGGGTGGGTAGGAATGAATCCAGAAGGTTCTGGAGGCTCCCTTGGGGCAGCGGGCGCTGAGGTTCTTTCCAGATAGGGTAACAGAGCTGGTCCTGGGGTCTCCAGGGAGCCCGTGGTCGGTGCCCCTTGCAGTGGGAGCCATAGAGTGCTCTTGAGCTCAAGAGGGTGGTGGGAAGGAAGGCTTCTCCCTGGAGTCCTCCTTGGAGTCTCTCCTTCCCAGCCCCTCTTCCTCCCCCTGGAAGCTACTTCTGACCTTCCCTGAGCTCAGACATTGGCCTGAAAGGCGGGGGCACTGCCCGGGCCTCCCTCCTCCCTCCCCCATAATGCAGACGCTGCCCAGCCTCACCCCAGACCCTGGGCACACAGGCCGGCCAAGGGCCTCCGGGGCGGAGCGCAGACAGGCAGACCCACCCCGCTGCGCAGGCCCCGCCTCCTCCACACTGAGCCTCCTGTTGCCAGGGCAACCGAGGCCAGCACAGCCCCTGTCCTCCCCCTCCCTTCGCCTGTTTCCGTGTTAGCTGGCCAAGGCTGTGGGGACACAGTGCCCCCGGCTGAATGGCTTGGACACCAGACATGTGTCCTCTTGTTCTGGCCACTGGAATTCTGAGATGGAGGTGCGGGCGGGGCTGGTTCCTCCTGAGGCTTCACAAGGTCCTACTGTGTGCTGAGTTTCCTCCCCTTAAAGGGACACCAGTCCTGCTGGATTAGGACCCACCCTGAGGACTTGCTCCAACTCAGCGGGCCCCATTCTGAGGTCCTGGGTGAGAATTCTGGGGCCAGGCCCCCCGGCCCTTGGCCACCCTCTGAGCGTCTCCTCTGGCCCTCGGCCGTCCAGGGCTTGCTCTCTCTGGCTCTGTCCGTCTCTCTTCGGCCTCCACCCCTCAGCTCCTCCATCTCCCTTCTCCCCACCCTTCTGGTTGGGTGACCTTGGGCAAGTGACTTTGCCTCTCTGGCCTCTGTTTCCCCATCTGACAAACAGAGCTACAGCCACCACCTCTCAACAGTCGCAGTTGGCAGAGCTAATGACAGGCAGATGCTTTCCCACCATTCCCCTGACCAGCGTGCAGGGGGCACAGGACTCTCCAGACAGGCCCCACCTGGAGGTGGGGAACCTGCCCAGAGTCACACAGCCAGTGGGGGCAGAGTGTCCACCTGGCTGGAGATTTTTCCCACATGCTCTGTACTGGGGCAGGAGCCAGCTGGCCATCTGGGCCTGGGGGACATGCAGGGGTGGGGAAGATCCGTCCTGTCTCCTGACAGGTCAGCGTCCAGCACTTTGGAACACAGCTGTGGGGCAGGGGAACCAGACTCAGAGTTTCCATCCCACGTGGGAGGTGGGGAGAGGGACAGCTGCGGCCTGTTTCTATTTATTGAGCATCGCTGTGTCCCAGGCGCGACTTCAGTCTCTACACGCATCACCTCTCAGCTGTGGCGAAACCCCCCACGACCGGTCCTGTTATCTCTGTTTCCAAATGAGGACAGGGAGGCTAAGACACTTGCTCAAGGTCAAGCACTTAAGACCCCGATTTGAAAACCCAAGTTAGCCAGGGTATTGAAGTGCCCACCCATGTCCCCATGCCATTTTGAGCCATGGTCCAGAGGGTATCAGGGAGTCCAAGGGAAGGGGCGGACCTGCAAAGGCTTCAGCACAATCTTGCTGTGTGACCTACCGGAAACCATCACCCTCTCTGGTCTTCAGTTTTTGCTTCATGTCAAATCACCTGCTTCCTCAAGTCTGCACCCATTCCCTCCCCTCCGTATTAACCTTGTGCAACACTGCCAACCCAACAGGGGCCAAGGAGGGACCCTTTAAGTTTTCACATCTCTCTCTGGATGCTGAGGACCTCCTGCCATTGGCTGACGCAGCAGACGGTGGGGAGATGGGCTTGGGAGTTGTTTTGGTGGTTTCCTCTTTTGGGGCTTTTTGGTTTAAATTTCTTGCCGTGATTTTATTTGCTGCTGCAGTTCTTTCCCAGGAATTACCTATAATAGGCTCAAAGGTCTTCATAGACCAGAAGGTACCACCGACTCAGTCCTGGCCTGGCCTGGTCCCTGCGGCCTCTGGCCTCCCCCTGCCCCTTTTCTGACCCAGCTGGTGCTGGGGCTGGGACTCTGCCTCCCACCACCCAGCCCCCACCTGAGGCACTTCCTGCCCTGCTCCCTGGGAGGCCAGACCGCACTCCCTGCACCTCGCTGCACCACGTGGCCACTCAGGCCGTGGGAACGGCAGCCTCCCTCCCTCCCCACCTGGCCAAGCGCTGGGGGGCCCTGAGACCAGCGGTGAAAGAGGGTGACCCCCAAGCCCCCAGGCCTCTGGAGAAGTCGGATCCCCAGATGCCAGTCAGGGTCAGATCCCTCTCCAGGAGGTGCGCAGGACGGAGGGGTCCATTGACAGAGAGGCAGATGGACATGCTCTCCTGCCCCTCCACCCACTGCTGCCAGGGCCCAGGGCTCCCCAGGGAGCTGCCTGGTGTATGCCAGGGACCTGAGGCCAGCAGGGGCTGGACACGGCCATCAGAGAGTGTGAGGAGTCTTGGGGATGGGGTGGGGGAGGGGCAGGGGCCAGGTGCCGCGAGAGATGGAACCCCAGCTGACCCGCAGGGAGGGACCACGTGGTCCCCTGGCCATGTACCCACTGGCACAGCCCCCAATCCAGCGTCCCTGGGCTGAGCCACCCCACAGTCCAGGTCCCCAGGCTTCAGCCCAGCTCTGGGGCTCAGAGGCTTCTGGAGTCTGGATGGATCCCAGATGGTCCCAGACCAACCTGGTGTGGTCATCCTGCACTCTGACCCAGAAACCCCAGGACCTGGTGCCCGCTGCTCCACTTGCCAGCTGGGGGACCTAGGTGAAGTCACCTCCCATCTCTGCAATCCTCACAAATAGGTTTCGGGAACACAGCTGTCCCAGTGGCAGTGACCTCGGGAGGAGTGTGAAACTGCATCTCAGCCTATGGGTTAGGAGTGCTGGGATTGATTGGTGATGCCTGCCATGGGCGCCGGGTGGGTGGCAGTAGTGTGTACGAGGTTGATTTGGTGTCTCTGCTCTCACCTTGTCTCTGGGAGTGGAGTCACATTTGAAATTAAAATTGGAATCGCTGTTTCTGAGGACACCAGCCCCTTCCCCCAGGAGACCAGGCTCCTAACTGGCTCCCCCCACTTCTGGCACTTACCCAGAGTGCATTTTATAGTGTGTCAATCCTGGGGTCACAGGGTGGGTCGTGGGTCAGACATTTCTAGCAGCTCACAATCTGGTAGAAGAGATAAGTGTGGAGCCACACAGAGAGAAAATGCTTTCCTCCTCAGAAAAACAAACACCGTCCTTCTGGGTGAAAAGAAGAAATAGATATGAATCCACTGTGGTCAGGTCAGAAGAGGCCTGTGCAGATGGTGGCCTCTGAGGTGTCTCCAAAGGGCAGAGGGAAATCAGGGATGGATAGTGTAGGCGGGCAGTGGAAACCGTGTGGTGGAAGTACCTGGATGGACACGGGCAGGGAACTGTGTGAGGAACAGCCTAAGCAGGTCTCCCTGCATCCTCCCGTCCTACCGAGCACTGCCTCCCAGCCACAGCGGGCAGCATCTGCTCTTTCTTGGCGGGGAGAAGAGATACAGCCCATCCCTGCCTCCCAGACTAACCCTGGGACCCTTTTTTTTTTCTTTTTTCCTCAGCCTCTAATCCATGATAAGAGAAATTGCTTCAGGTAGCCACTCCCAAAACCCTAGCCACAGAAGCCCTGCCCGGGCAGCATTTCCTAGAGCAAGGTGTTGGCCTGCCCTGCCAGATGCCCCTTAGTGACACCTTGATGAATGCCAGCAATGAACCTCCTGGAGCCGGGAAGCTGCAGGGGATTGCTCTCTGGGACTCTGTGAGTCACTTCAAACCTGTGCAGAGGATGTCTAAGGAGGCTGTGTCCCGAGCAAAGCACGTGCTCGTGAGTCACCTGCTCGGAAGAGCCCCACAGAATCCACTCCTGCAAGGAGCGTGCATTGAACATCTACTAGGTGCTTATCTGCTGGTGGGAAGTCAGGTGGTCAAGACAGCTGGGCCCCAGCAGGTGTCATTCAGCCGAGAGGAGTCAGCCACTGGGAGCTGGGGTGGGGGGGAAGCCTTCCTTCCCACGGAGGACACAGTACGATTCCTGGTAAAGGATTCCTGTGCTCCTGCTGGAGGAGCAGCTGAGGTGTCTGGAGTGGAGGGTGGAGAGGTAGGAGATGGGTCACAGGCAGGGACAGGCCAGATGGCACAGGGCCTGGACATGCTCAGCAACTGTTATGCCATGAAAACAAAAGTAAGTAAGGTAAGGACAAAGACAGGGACGTCACTCCAATTGGGTGACCTTTGAGCAGAGACCTGGGTCAAGCAATTCCCTGGGGATATCTGAGAAAGAGTGTCCTGGGCACGGAGCCAGCACATGCAAAGGCCCTGGGGTGGGAATGTGCGTGTCATAGTGAGGGACACAGGGACACCAGGGTGGCAGGAGGGAAGCAGTGCCAGGTGCACGCACAGGAAACGGGGTTGGAAGAGGAGACAGGGTCAGGTGATGGGGAGAGGTTTTGAGCCCTGCGGGAGCCACAGGGACCCAGAGCCAGGAGCACCCGGGTCTGATACAGGACTGAGAAGGGCGGCTGCAGCTGCATCCCTGCCCTGGATGAGCCACATCTGGCTTCTGGCCAGAGCAGATTTCAAAAGGGCCGCAGGATTCCTCAGACCTGATGGCTGGGCCCCCCGGAGGCAGGGCAGGGGTGACGGTGGTCCCCCTCTGGAGGCCCGCGGCGGCAAGCGGTGTCCAGACCGGAGGATGTTCTCACTGCCGGGAGGAAACGCACGTCCCACATCAAAAGGGGGCCCTGGGCGGCTCCCACGCTGGGCGTCATGGGAACCCGGCTACCCAGGGTTCTCGCAGGCGGCCTGCAGATTGAGACGGCTGGGGGCCACCTTGGGACTGTCCCCCTCGTTCAGCAGTGGGTACATTTAAAAAAATAAAAATGCCCCGCCGTCACACGCGCTCACAGCCTCTCCTGGGGCCAGACTGGCTTTCGTAAACCAGGGTTTTCTGGGCTTTCAGATATTTTGGGGCTCCAAGGTCTAAAACTTTCTTGGGGCACCCTCTGCCTAGCTCCCAGGCCAAAGGCTCAGCAAGGCCAGGTCATCAGTGGGGCCAGACTTTGCCTGCACCATAGACCCCGGCAGCCATGGGCCTCTCTGATTGAGAGCAGCTACTGCATGGCTGTGGCGGGATCTGCTCAGCTCAAGGGAGTGCTGGGGTGGATTGGTGATGTCTGCCATGGGGGGCGCCCAGGTGGTGGTATGCATGCTAAAGAGTTCTCTGTCCACCATTTGATTGATGGTCCTGGGTTGGAGGGATGTTCTCTTCTCATGAGACTCAAAGCAAGGAAGAAGGGTGGGCAGATCCCGGCCTAGAGGTGTTTGAAGGGCAGAGTCTGGATGAGGAGCACTGGGGACATGCCTGTCTGCTGTCCTATAAAGCATGCAGGAAGTCCTAGAAGGTCCTGGGAGATTGTGACAACCTGAGAAGGGCAGATGGATCCTCAGCCCCACCAGCTTTGAGCCCCAGAGATGCCAGAAGAAGAGCGCCCTCCCCTTGCCCCTGTACCCTCAAGACCCAGCCCCTTACAGATGGGAAACCAGGGCACCGCGCCTCGCCCACCTGCACTGACAGGTCCCGGGACACCCAGGGCCTGTCCTCCCACCCCGCCATCCTCGGGGGATGTGTGCAGTGACAACATCACCCCAGGACCTCCTCCATGGCTGGACCCTGATGTCTTTTTCAGGCCCTGAAGGGGGTCTGGGGTGAACTACAGCCCACCTGGGTGGCCGAGTGGCCACAAGCTGAGAACTATGTGTGTGTGGGGGGGCCTTCTGTGCTGGGCGTCTGTGTGCCAGCGTGGGGGTGTAGATCAGAGTGTGAGCACCTGTGTGGCAGGAGAGAGCGTGTGTGCGTGTCCCTTGTGTGCTGTGAGTGGGTCCGTCGTCTCCATGGGTGGACAGCAAGTACCTGAGGGCTGCAGGTGCTGGTACTTGTGCCAGGGCCGAGTGCCCGTCCACCCAGTTTGCCATCTGCTCCCCACAGGTCCCAGGAGACCCAGGGCCTGTCCTTCATGTGTCCCAGAGAGGTGGCCGTGGCAGGGGCTGTCCCAGCAGGCATGAGCTGGCTTCTCTTGTCCAACTGCGTCCCCCCAGTGGTTAGCGTGTCTGCACGTATGGGCCTCTGTGTGTACGAGGGGCAGTGTGTGAGCATGCCCCAGCTTCCTGCCGCTCAGTGTCTTCCCTAAGCATCTGTGTTTATCTGTGTGCAGGGAAGTGGGTCCCTGGTATGTGTGCACGTTAATTTGTCACAAGTTCCCTGGGACAGTGTTTGTGTGTCTCCAAGCATGTGTGTAGTGTGTTCCTTGGGAGGTTTTGTGTGTGCCTCCGTGTGTGTGTGTGTGTGTGTGTGTGTGCGATGTGTGTGTGTGCCTATTTCTGGACCCACCACATTGGTCCCAAGCCTGCCAAGGGCACCATTTGCTTGAAGAGGCACCCCAGCCAACAACCCAAGCCAACTGTGCCTACTGGGGACAAGTGACCAGGCAGCATTGGCCAGGCTCCTACCTCTGCAGGCCAGCCAAGAGGCTGCTGCTCCTGCTTCAGCTGTCCCTGTCCCCTCCCTTCTTGACCCCACCCCCACCCCAAGGAGAATCCCCAGCCCTCAGACGCTGCTGCTCTTCCCAACATGTCCAGCCTGGGCTCCAAGCCCAGCAGAGCCGGACACCGTTCGCCTGCATCAGCCGGAGCTAAAGCCATGAAGATTCGGGCAGGCGGGTGCCCAGTCCCCCCAGCAGCCCCCCGTGTGAGCCTCCACTTTACAGAGTTTAAGAGACTTGCTCCAAGCTGACAGAGCAGCCCTTCCTACTATGGCTCCCTCTCTCAGATGGAGAGGAGTCACACGGTGACTTAGGGGAGGAGGCTCAGCAGAAAAATCCCTTGGCCAGAGGTGTTGGTAACGATGCAGGTGACAGGATGTGGGTGACAGTGAGGATGCAGGTGACAGTGAGGATGTGGGTGACGGTGAGGATGCAGGTGATGGTGAGGATGCTGATAATGCTTTGAAGTCTTTACTGGGTGCTAGGAATTGTGCTCGGCTCTGGACTTGGGGAATTTCATTGAATTCTCACAGCAAACAAAAAAGGAGGTACCTCATCAACCCCTGCTGCAGATGGGGAAGCAGATTGGGAGAGGCGGAATGATGTGCCCGGGCTCACGGCTGAGCAGGGGCTCAGGAGAAACGGAAGCATCTCTGGTACTTTTTCCCAGGGGCTGCCTTAGTCCCAAGCACTAATGTTGGTGAATTTTGTGGAAGGAATGTTCATCATCAGATGTCTTTGAAAGACCTGGATGGACTATTGCCGACCATGTACCCTTACACGGACTCACCAGCGCCTTCGGGGTGCTCTCAGACTCCTTAAGACTCTCCGAGAGAGGGTCAAGTGTTTCCTAATTTATTTTATCCCTGAGTTCTTTCCCAGGATGTTTTATGGGTATTAGTGTTCCATATATCCACATCAGAGCCTATTTAGTGCCCTAAATCACTGATAGTTGGATTTAGGGCACAGTCACCAGGGGAACGGAGGAGGCCGACTGTGGGGTGCAGAGTCTGAGCTAAGCCTAAGGGAGCAACCCACTAGAGTCGCAGCCGTCCTGACCACACCACACCCCAAAATAGGATGCCACGGTAGGAATGGTGTCGTGCACCAAGAGATCAGGGTGTGCCCAGGGATCAGAAACCCAAGACAAACGAGATCCTCTAATGGGGTCAAGGGGCTGGTGTCCAGCTGCCGCCTCTTTTCTTATTCCCGCAGTGTCCCCGCGCTCCCGGTGAAGAACTTGAATGGTACCGGACCGGTCCATCCGGCCCTGGCAGGTGGGTTGCAGGCCAGAAGGGGACCTGAAGGATGCAGTTGGCATCCTTGGCTGCTGGGGGGCGGATCCAGGAAAACGCCCACTAGTATTGGGTGCCCTAGGCTCCGACTAGGGGTGGGGCTCAGTGGGTGGGGTCAGGGGCGGGGCAATCGATGGGGGCGTGGCCCTGAAGGAACATCTGTCCATTAGTGAGGAAGGCCATACGTGAGTGTGGGCGTGGCCAGGGAGACGCCCTACCCCTGATGTCTCGCCCCGCCCCCAGGGATGACAGGGATCCTGCTGTGTGCGGCGGGGCTGCCAGTGTGCCTGACGCGGGCTCCCAAGCCCATCCTGCACCCGCCGCCGGTCAGCAAGAGCGATGTCAAGCCCGTGCCCGGCGTGCCCGGAGTGTGCCGCAAGACCAAGAAGAAGCACCTTAAGAAGAGTACGCCTTCCGCAATCCTGCCAACCCCGGCCTCTAGTTTGTTAAGACTTGTCACCTCCTCTGTCTCCCCTGTCCCTGACCACCCCATCCTTCGGGAACTCCCATTATAGCTAGCCCCCAGCAAACCTCGCACCTCTGGGCAGCCCTCCATCCCTAACCCCGTCCCCAGTCAAGCCCCGGGCAGAGATGAGACTCTGGATGCCCTCAAGCCCCGCCTCTTGTGTCCCCTGCAGGTAAGAACCCCGAGGATGTGGTTCGAAGGTACATGCAGAAGGTGAAAAACCCACCTGATGAGGTGAGTCCCTGGGGAGGGGACGGGCCTCACACCCCGCTGCAGATTTCTCTGGGTTTTAGGTAATAGGGGTCCCTTCCCGTAGCAGGCTCTTGCCACTTGGTTTCTGTGAGGTCTCTTGATGACCAGAAGCACTTGAGGTTAATAGAATCGCATCTGTCAATCTTTTGAAGATTGACATGAAAATTTCACGTCACATTTCCCCCAAAATGTTTTTAAAGTTTTGTTTTTGAGAGTTAAGCCATTAGTACATCTGGAGGGGGTGGAGGGCGAGGGAGACGTCTCCTCTGGGACATGAGGGTGTCCTCTCTTCCTCTGCCAAATGGCTGCTGCCTATGGTGGCCGAAGGTCCTGCCCCTCCCCTCCCCAGAGCTCATTCCCTTCCTGCCCCCCAGGATTGCACCATCTGCATGGAACGGCTTGTCACCGCGTCTGGCTACGAGGGTGTGCTGCGGCACAAGGGTGTGCGGCCGGAGCTCGTGGGCCGCCTGGGCCGCTGCGGCCACATGTACCACCTGCTGTGCCTCGTGGCCATGTACTCCAACGGCAACAAGGTGAGCTGCGCAGGCAGGAGGGGAGCCGGCAGGGGCGGGCGCCTGGGCACTCACACCTCCCGCCCCCACCCAGGATGGCAGCCTGCAGTGCCCCACCTGCAAAGCCATCTATGGGGAGAAGACAGGGACCCAGCCACCTGGGAAGATGGAGTTCCACCTCATTCCCCACTCGCTGCCCGGCTTTGCCGACACCCAGACCATCCGAATCGTCTACGACATTCCCACGGGCATTCAGGTGAGGCTACCGGCCCCTCAGGCCCCCACCTCAACCAACGCCTTCCCCACCGGAGTCCTCCACCTGCTGTGGCTTAAGTCCCTGCCGCCCCTCCCCATAGGGCCCTGAGCACCCCAATCCGGGGAAGAAGTTCACCGCCAGAGGATTCCCGCGCCACTGCTATCTGCCCAACAACGAGAAGGGCCGGAAGGTGGGTACCCACGGGGGCACAGGGACTGGACACAGGCAGGGGCCCCAGCTACTGTCAGCCTGGGCCTGGAGTCCCGATATCCCCAACCTTGCACCCCAGTGATATTGACCACAACCATCTCCTTCATACACCTCATCCTCTTTACCAGCCTGCTGAGGTCTAGGTTGGACCCCATTTTACAGATAAAGAAATGAAGCTTCAGAGAAGGCAAGTAATTTGCCCATCACACAGCAAAGCAGTCCAAGCCCTCCACCGCCACACTATATATTGATCTTTTTTCTTTTCTTTCTTTTTTTTTTTTTTTCTTAGTACCAGGGGTTGAGCTCAGGGGCACTCGACCACTGCGCCACATCCCCAGACCTTTTTTGTATTTTATTTAGAGACAGGGTCTCACTGAGCTGCTTAGTGTCTTGCCATTGCTGAGGCTGGCTTTGAACTTGCAATCCCCCTGCCTCAGCCTCCCAAGAAGCTGAGCTTACTTACAGGTGTGCACCATCCACTGCACCCAGCTTGCTTTCTTTTTCAAGAGAAGCCAGACATTGAGATTTTCCGTGTAGAATCTCCAGGCTTCTGAATGTTTGCCACTAATCCACAAAGCAGCTATTTACTACAGCATGGGGTCTAAACCAAGGACAGCCACCAGCCACCCATTTGAGACCCTTACTTTACAGCACACAGGGGGAAGGGAGGCAGGATGGGGCTGGGGGTGGGAGGCACTGCCGCTGGGTAGGAGTGGGGACTGCCTGTGACCTCAACCTGCCCCCGCCTCCCAGGTGCTGAGACTGCTCATCACCGCCTGGGAGAGGAGGCTCATCTTCACCATTGGCACGTCCAACACCACGGGCGAGTCAGACACCGTGGTGTGGAACGAGATCCATCACAAGACAGAGTTCGGCTCCAACCTCACCGGCCACGGCTACCCAGACGCCAGCTACCTAGACAATGTGCTGGCCGAGCTCACCGCGCAGGGGGTGTCCGAGGCTGCTGCCAAGGCCTGAGGCCCAGCCTGCCCACCCTCCCTCCTGCTTTGCCCTGGCGGCTCACGCCTAGCTCAGCCAGGTGTGCCCTGGTGGCCCATGTTCGGGGCTGGGGCAGGAGCCCGCAGGTGGAGCCCGACTTGGCTAGTGGCAACTGGGATGATGGGAAGAGGACAGGCCACGGGGCTCCCACCATAGCTCGCAGAACAGGCTGCAGAAAGAGTACCGGCAACCGCAGCGACCTCCCTACCAAAAAGACAGCGACCCTCCCCTCACGCCAACACACGTGTCCTGTTGAACACATGCACGCACACCCACGTGCCTCCACTTGCCCCCAAACTGGGGGAGAAGAGACAGAAAGATCCCATGATACCCCGTGTGTGTCCCACGTCTGTCCCTGTGGCTTCTGTACCGCTTGTCTGCACAGAGGACCCATGGCAGGCATGAAGGGGCCTGCTGGGGCTCCCAGGACACGGGAGTCCACCCCTGGGCCTCACCCACCCTGTATCATCACCGTCTCTGCCCACCACGGGCTGCGCACTGAGTCCCGGGGAGGAAGGCCCCAGGTGACCAATCCTACAGAGGGCTGGGCCACAGCAACCCGGGGCAAGGGACATCTTATTTTGTGCTCCTGTCTGTCTCTTCTTCCTTCTGGGACCCTGAACCCCGCCTCCTGTCCCATCTCCAGCCTTATGTCTGTCCCAGATGAAAGCTCTTCTTTCCTCCCACCCCATCTCCTGGCCAGATGGCGCCCATCTTTGAGACCCAAAGGCTGTAGCTTCTGGCTCGAGGAGCGAAAGGAGGCCTTGATCAGGCCAGCGCCTCGACGAGGGACAGCGGACAGCAAAGAGTTACTTTCCCTCTCCTCGGGAGCGGGCGGTGGGGTGGTTGAGAGTCTCCGGCCAACCAGGGGCCCGTTGCCCAGGCAACTCACCAGCTCCGCCTCTGTTGATTGGCTGCCGCGGAGGACGTCAGCCAAGATTTAAAGGGACGCCAGCGACTGCTCTTTTGAAAACCTACCCGTCCCACTGTGGGTGGAGAAATAAATGGTCTTTCTCCTCCTCGCCCAGCCCCGTCTCTTCCTGCAAGCGGTGGGGGTGGGGCGTCCCTGTTGCTGGGACTTTAGGGACATTGGGGGTGATGGCAACCTCAGGGCCACCATCTGGGGCAGCTGGAGAAGGAGCAGGGTTCCCATCATCCTCATGTCCTGGAGCAGAAAGGCAGGTGGGTGGCTGGAGCAGAGGCAGACCCTCCGAGCTCCAAAGGAGGCAGAGGGGACAGCGACTTCACAAGAGCAAAAGGTAGTGCACCCACCTGCTTCCTGACCCAGTGACGTGAGAGGAGGAACTCGGGCTGGGAGACTCCGGGAAAATACGGGGAAGCAAGGACACACTGTGATCAGCCCGTTCGGGACTTCGGAGCCCCAGACTCTGTCTTCAGGGAGACAGGGCAGGCCCCAGGGTCGCCAAGCGTCAAAGGTTAGCCGCAGCCACAGGCCGGGACGCGGCGTGGCAGCGGTGCAGGTTGTGGCTCCTGGCGACCCCTGCTGGCCACCCGCGGAATAGCACTCTCCTGGTGCGCTTGGTGCCTGGCCAGGTAGGCTTCAGTCCCACACTCCACGCAAAACCAGAAATGCGCCCTTGGAGGCCCTTCCGGCTCTGCCAGCGTCTGTGGCTCCTTCTCAAAATTCTCACCCTAACCCCCAACAGAGAAACTTGCCCACTGCCCGAACTCGTAATTCTCAGACGCGAGGTTCACCCACTCACTTGGAGAAAACCCTGATTCCTGCCCCCACAAATCCGCAGGATCTGGATCCGTGGTTGGGAGAGACCCCGGAATCTGTATTTCTAGCAAACAGCCCAAGAGGTGGGCTTTGGCCCTCCTCTGCTCCCGAGGGACCTCGACAGAAACCAGATTGAAAGCCACACACCAGGGGCTGGGGATGTGGCTTAAGTGGTAGCGCACTTGCCTGGCATGAGCAAGGCACTGGGTTCGATCCTCAGCACCACATAAAGATATTGTGTCCACCTAAAACTAAAAAATAAATATTAAAAAAAAAAGCCACACAGCAAAGCTCACTCCCTCCACATTTTATACACGGCAAGAGCTGGCCCACGGTCTCTCAGGCTATGAATCTGACACACCCGGGCTCCCAGCCTCCAATCTCCCAGAGGGCACCTGATTCTGGAAGCTGGGGTTGGAGCCCGCAGGCAAGGACAATATACAGAAGGACAGTGAGGTTACAGGGATTAGCTGATGTGAAAACAGGAAGAGCTGAGCCCATGGGGGCGACAAGGCCACAGGGGCATTGGGATTCCAGGTATATATGTATCCAGCAGCTCGGGGCAAGGCTGGCTTCCTAGGTGTGGGTAGAGGCTAGTCCAATGAAGAAGGCTCCAGGCTCAGAAAAGTCAAGTTCCTTCTCCTGTCCCATTCAACCTGAAGACTCCATTCATTCTGCACAAGGCTGACCCCTGCCAAAGACCTGCCTGTCTGGACTCAGGGCACACAGGCCTAGAAAGGTCTCGGAGAGTTTCCAGGAAGCAGCGCTGAAGAGGCTCAGGACAGCCACGGGGAGGCTCCTGGGCCAGGGTGCGCTGAGGAGGCCCCAGGGTTCCTTGCTCCTCCTTCCAGACTGGCCCTGAGTGTCTCAGGGCGCCGGGGGGCCGGGGGCCACCTTCCCCTGCCCCTGCCCCTGGAACTCCTGGTGGGCGCGATCCAGGTCTTCCAGCACCTCCAGCAGGCGGGCCGCCGCTGCCCTCTGCCGAGCCAGGACCTCGGGGCAGGTCCCTGGGAGGGAGACGAGAGGACTGCAGGGGACTGGCTGGCTGAGGGTGGCCACAGCGCCTGGTCCCATGGCTCTCTCATGCTGCAGACTTGCTTTGTGCCCCTAAGTCCCCAGATGTGACAGTGGATGGGAAACGGGGAGGGGGAACACAGGGGTCCACTGGGGAAGCCATGGGGACGTGTCTGTGAGGGAGAACAGGACCCGCCTCATCCTTACCGAGGGTGGCACTAGGACCCCTGCCCGTGTCCTCCTCCAGGTCTGGGTCCAGACTGGAATCCTCTAGGAATTTCATCCTGGAGGTTGACAGGGACAAAGACAAGACTCAGGTAGAACGATCCTAAATCCAGACCTAAGGCTCGTCTGTGATTCCCAGTCCTGCTCCCTGTTGGTCGCAGAAGTTCTAGGTGCCCACCTCCGATCACCATCGTCACAGCAAACATTCATGTGTGCCAGACACGGATCTCTGGGAGACACAGAGAGATGAAGTCACTTGCCTCAGGTCACACAGCATAACAATAATTGTTGGCAGGACTTGAAAGCTGTGTGTCCAGGGCCTGCAGAGAGCTTTTCCTGGCTTGGCTCATTTGATCCTTAGGACAATACTGAGAGGGAGCCACCACTATCCGCCCCACTTTCCCCATAAAGAAACTGAACAGCGGAGAAGTTAAGTAACTCGCTCCCTATCCAGAGGCCAGGAAAGGAGCCCAGGAGTTGTGTCCCGCCATCAGAACCCACTCACAACCAGCCAAGACGAACCTCTGTCACTAAATAAAGAGAAAGTGAAGACCCACATTCATTTTATGTGACCCTGCCGTGTCTCTAGAGCGTCAGGTAGAACGACCCCAAGATCCCTCCGCCCCGACCCTGCAGACACCGGGTCCCCCCGACCCGCAAGCTGAGTCAGTTTGCGTGGAAACAGTGACCGCACCAACACCGACCCATCACTCGGACGGCCACCGTGACCATCCACCCAGCCGATGGCAGCAGCAGCCCTGGGTACCCACCGGAGCTGGTCCCGCCCCAGAAGCAGCTGCCGATACACCATCTGGGTCTCAGCATCGGGATCCAGAGGGTCGCTCCAGTCCCCCAGGGTGATGGCTGAGTGTGTGCGACTGCAACCCACAGCTGAAGGGGACACGCAGCGTCAGTCGATCCCCCTCCCCCTCCCCCCTCTCCGGCCCGGCGTCTCCAAGCCAGGGCCCCTCAATCGCACCCCTCTCTGGAGTCCCACCCCATCTGCTCTGGTCAAGCCCCGGGCTCCCCCAGGAACCTCCTCCCTGGCCTCCCTGCCTCCACTCTCATCAGCCCCAGGCCTGCTCCCTGGACTCCAAAGCCTCGCTATTCTTCTTTTTCTCCTTCCACAATCCGGGACCCAGGGCGCAGACACCCCACCCTGCCTCACCCGGGGCCTTTGCTCAGGCTGTTCCTCTGCCCGTTCTCACCCACCCTGTCTGCACGCCACTCAGGCCTCAGCTAGCGCCGCCTCTTCCCGGAAGCCCTCCTGGATCCCCCTACCCCCTTCCCAGGGCTGGATCAGGGGAGGGGCATTCTCTGGAGTCCCCAAAGCCCCGTGTAGATGTTTGTAAAGTTGCACTGACATTGTCTGGCTGGGGGTGGAGACGAAGCTCGGGGGTAGAGGGTTTGCTGACCATGCCGCAGACCCCAAGGTAGGTCCCCAGCTCCCTGGAGAGCCAGCACAGGTCTGCGGCTCTGGGTGGCCCGTAGAGTGAGTACTTAAAAATAGCACCTCGCACTAAGGAGCACTGCGGGCCTAGCAGTGTGCTAGCCACTCTGTTCCAGTTAATTGTCTGCCCTATTAACTTACTCCTCACAGGAACCCTGAGCTTGGTACTACTGTCCACCCCATCTCACAGTTGAGACTGGGGCCTAGAGAGGTTAAGTAACTTGCTTAAGGTTGCACAGCCCTCCCAGACGGAAGTGGGATTCCCGCCAATGGACAGGTGGGAAGGGCAGAACCCGCAGTCTCCCCTGCCCCTCACCAGGGCGCTCAGCCTGCAGGCAACAGGTCCAGCGCCCACCGCGGAAGGCACCAGGGTGGCAGGCGGCCAGCTTGTCCTGGTTGGGGGCGCTGGCTTTGCGCAGGGCCGACAGCCATTGGTTGAGCTCGTTCACGTTCTGCAAGGAGTGGGCGTGGTCAGGGGCGTGGCGTGGCCAAGGCGCACCCTCCGCCCCCTCGGGGCAGGGCCTCACCTTGCACTGCAGGTAGGTGGTGTGCAGCGCCCCCTCGCCGTCCTGCGTCACCACCTGCATCACGTAGGGCAACTGGAAGGCGCCCTCGTCCACGCGCTCCACGGCGCGGATGTGCGACACTGGGATGGAGCTGCGCTCCTAAAGAAGAGGGGTGTCTCTGCAGGGCGGGCTGCTGGCCGGGGCGGAGTGGCCCAGGGGGCAGCTCTAGGTGTGTGCCTCGGTGGAGCCCCCAAGGGCAGAGCACGTTGGACCCTTATAGCTGCGCTCCATGTCCTTGTCCCTTGGCTGTGACTTCCTTCTCTGGGCCTCAGTTGCCATCATCATCATCATGGTCATCTTCAAAGCCGCTTGGAATGTGACCCGAGCGCTTTCCATTTATCAACTCATTTAATCACCCCAACAAACGGCTCAGGTTAGGTTTGTAATTCTTCCCAATTTGCAGATGAGGAAACTGAGGCCCAAGAAGAGAGAGACCCTTCTGAGACCACTCATGTGGTGGAGCCAGAACGGGCACCCTGGGAGTCCATGCCTAGAAAAACCTACACGAATAAAATCCAAGTGACAACTGGGTCCCCACCAGCATGAGTCACACAGTGGGTGCGCGTGCAGGAATGCATGGTCCGCATGCGTCCAGGTCCGGGTTAGCTGGGAATACCAGCCCCTTGTGGCCATTGCCTGGGACAGGGCCTGGCGGTAGGAGGCCCTGTTTGCTGAGTGAATGAGCAAACGAGCCAATGCCTGGATGGCGGCCTCCACAGCCAGCCACACCCGAGTCTAAGACCCGGGGGCAAGCGCTGTCCCTGCCCTGGGCCTCTCCACCTCGGGAGGACGCGTCCGTGCATGAAGTGGACACTCCTGCAGGACGTTGGTTGGCGCGTGGAGGATCAGGATCATGCCTGTCCCTTCCTGTGCCTGAACTGGCCCCAGCTGTGAGTTTGGAGGTGCCAAGGTGCCCCGGGGCCTCAGTTTCCCTCTGGGTGCAAAGCAGCTGGGGGAGGGGCAGGCCCCCCGGGAGCCGCGCCCCGCAGCCGGAGCCCCACCTGCCCCTCGGGGCCCTTGGCGCAGGCCAGCTCCTCCCCGCTGAGCCAGAAGTAGCGCTTCTTGAAGGCGAAGCGGGTGGCCAGGCCAGCGGGCTCCTCCTTGCGCTTCTGCAGGTAGCCTTCTCGAAGTGTCACCGAGGGCGGGACCAGGGCCCTCGCTGGGCCACCAGCCTCTGGGAAATGGGAAAGGAAGGCCGAATCAGTGAGCCCTTTCTGTCCAGCGCCACCTGCCCTGCCGGCCTGCCAGGGCCTCCAAGGCTCTGGACTCCACCGAGACAGGACCAAGGCCCGCCCTGGCCCCTCTCCCACCCAGGGACCTGCAGGCAGTGGCGCGGGCGGCCAGCAGGGGGAGCCCAGCCCAGAGACACCCCTTGGATCCAGCCCCTGGAGAGGGACCCAGGCCGGCAGGTTGCTCCCATGGGACTTGGAACTACCTGGCGACCTGGGACCCATATTGTAAAATGGACTCAACCCCAATTCCTCTGCTTAAGACTCTCCCGGGCTCCACTTCTCTCCAAGTCAAAGACAAAAATCCTTCCCGTGCCTGTGAGGCCCCAAGGACCCGGCTCCCTGCTCCTCTGACCCTCTCACTCACTCTTTCTCACTGGCCCTCCCTGCAGCATTCCTCCTACCTCAGGGCCTTTGCACGTGCTGTTCCTGCCTGGAACACTCCTCCTAGGATCCCCACGGCTCTCGGATCTCCTTCAGGTGTTTATTCTGATATCACCAAGTGATGCCCTTCCTGCGCACCCAATCTAAAAGCTCAACCTGCTGCTACCTCTCAACACGGCCCCCCACACACCTCTTTTTCTCCTCAGCACTTACAACTCCCTCACCCCCCACATAATTTGCTAATTCATTTTATTCTAGTGGAATAAAACTAGAATAAAACTTCTATGAGAGCAGCATCTTCTTCGGTCTCATTTTGCTGCTGTACCCCAAGCACCCACAAAGGTGACTATTATATAACTTAATAGATATTTGCCCGTGGTGTGCCCACCAAGCCCCACTCCTCTGTTGGCTGAGATGGCCTAGAGGACAAGGCCTGAGTTCTGCTCATCTCTGGGACTTAGCATTTCTGCCAGGAAATGTTTGTTGAGCGACTAGCAGATCTGCAGGCTCTCTCCATGCTGAGGACCTGGGGATGGGGAGAGGTCCCAAGTGCTCTCAGTGGGGTGATGCGCTAGGTGTGGGGGCCATGGGAACTCACCCTCATCCCCATCCACGTCCACCAGCTGGTCCAGGAAGGCCCGCACGCGGGAGACGCTCTGCAGCAGGAAGGGGTGCAGGGGTGCCATCCACAGCTCCTTGCCCTGGCCCAGCTGCTGGCCCAGGTTTCCAATGCTCTGCACAGCCTGGGGCAGGGGAGCAGGGACACCAGGGTCACTGAGAGGCAAGGGTCCTCTGTGGACCCAGATCAGGGCCTGAAGCGGTACCTGCTCCTCCCTCCCTCCCCCTTTGGGAATCTACAGCCCAGTCCCTTTATTCTGTTCCCTCCCAAGACTAGACCCACCCAGGGCAGCCTGATCCTGTGTTAGAGTCTGTAAACAAGTCTGGATGGTGCCTGGCAAAATGCCAGAGGGAGTGGTTTGTGAATTTACTCCACCGAGCCATTAAGTGTGGAGATTCCTTATTGGTTGACTGATGTATCTAGTTTATGTTAATTAAGATAAGCTGTGTGGAATGTATAAATACCTCTGTTGTCCTACAATAAACGGCTCCTACTCCTGCTGTATCAATCTACACAAGTTGTTCGTCACCCCCCGGTTATTCTGCCGCAGCCAGTTGTTTACAGACTCTAACAATCCTGCACTCAGGAGCCCACTAGAGCCTCAGGTTCCTGCCGCTTTGCCAAAGATGGTCTAATTCACACTAAGGTGTGAAGGACTGCTAGCCTGCTTCCCTGTGCCTCCTCGAAGGGCGGAGATTTCCTTATGAACAAAGGAAACTGGGAGGCACCGTGGGCGGCTGGTGAGGGGTGCTCTGGGGTCTCCTGGGGTTTCTGGCCTCCGGGGCTGTTCCTGTCTGGCTGCTCCCTGGCTAAGAGGGCCCAGGACGGCTCCCCACTGCCGGCACCTTGGCCAGCAGCAGCAGCGAGCGGCTGGTCTGGGGGTCCGCGTGCTGGTCCCGGAGGTCAAAGAGCTTTGGCGTGAGGATGGCCGGTGCGAAAAACCGCAGGAAGAGGAAGCCGCTCACGGCCAGGTACTTCACGTCCTGGGGGAGAGCGGCAGGTGAGAGGGGCCGGAGCCCCCAGCCCCGGGACCCCAGGAAGCGAGCAGAGGGAAGGACAGGGTCGGAGGCCCAAGCCCACCAAGGAGAGCCTTGTTCCTCCAGCTAGGAGATGGGGTGACACCACAACACCGCAGAACCAGGCTTAGCCAGACACCCTTGCTGGGACAAGGACACGGCCCACCGTTATTCCCGATTTACATAGGAGGAAGCAGAACCTCAGAGAGGGCAGGTGACTTGTTTGAGGTCACACAGCTGATGAGCGGAGGAAACACCAGACGACTCCTGGTAACAACAGCCCAGAATCTTCTCCAGACAGCCCTGCATTTCCTGCTCACCCTCCGAGGGATTGTATCCTCACTTTATAGAGGAGGCAACTGAGGCCCAGAAAAGGAAGGTCATTTCCCCAAGGCCACACAGCTGAACATGGCAGAGCCAGGATTTGCACCCCAGGGGGTGGGAACTGTGTTCTTCTGCACCATCTGGCCATCCGACACCAGGTGGCGGGGGCACACACTCACTGCCAAGAGCTAAACCTAGACCACCACACTGAGTCCTCAAATAACCTGGTGGGGGGTGATCCTGTTATCCCACCTTCCAGATGAGGAAACTGAGGCTCAGCAGCAAACCCAGGGCAGCAGGCTCCAGAGCCCCTCCCATGCGCACCTGCCCCTGGCTGTTGCCCCCTGCAGGCTGGAGGGAGCACTGCGCTTTGCCGCCAGCCTCGGCGGGGCGCTTGGCTCCTCCCTCCCGGCTGCACCTCACTCTCCCCAAGCCGGCTCCCCCTCACACTCGCGGGCTGTATCTAGCTGACAACATGCGCCCGTGCTTATTTAGGGGTGGCAGCCACACCCCACACGACGCCCTCAGGACGTGGCCCAGCTTCCTGGGACATCTAGGTCTTGCCTGGGACCTGCAGGAGCTGGGCACCGGAGGCGCCCAAGGAAGGTCTCTCTCCTCCCATCTGGACCCCTGGGCTGTCCTCGAGGTCCTTCTCGCCCCCTTTCTTGGTCGGTCCTTCGCGGGGTGCTCTGGCACCCTCCTCCCGACCCTCCAGGGCCTGAGCGAGGTCCTGCTGCCCACCCACCTTGGAGGCAAGGATTTGCTTCTCCCTGGGGCTGGGCCACCGGGGCAGGCTCCCCCCTGCCACTCCTGCCACAGCCGTGAGACTCTAGCAAAGCGGGACACCGGGGAGCATGTCCCTGCCTGGGGACCCCGCACTCACTCCCAGTGGGTGGGGGAGAGGGGCCGCTCCTGCTGGGCATCAAACAAGGTTAGGGTCCCTGACCCTCCAGGAGGGGCTTGGACTTCTCTGGGCCTCAGTTTCCCGTGTTCAAGCAGGAAGTGTCGAGGAGAGGGGGCAGAGGGCACAAGTGCCAAGCCAGGCGCCGGGAATTGGGCCACCGCGTCTCCAACACTCAAGAGAGTCGCAGATCTCCCTGCAAAGTGAACCTCAGGCCTGCGTTTCTGCCACTTGGCTCTGTGGACATTAGTCTTGCAGGGCACGTGACACACGCCTGTGATCCCAGCAACTCGGGGAGGCTGAGGCAGGAGGATCTGAGTTCAACACCAGCCTCGGCAACCCAGCAAGGCCCTAAGCAACTCAGTGAGACCCTGTCTCTCAGTGAAAGTATAAAAAAGGGGGCCGGGGACGTGGCTCCGTGGTGAAGCACCCCTGGATTCCATTTCCAGTACAAAAAAAGAAAGAAAAAAGTCTCAACTGAGATCATCTGTAGGCGTGGCCAGTGACAGCCGCCTCAGAGGTGTGCTGAGCCTTAAACCAGTCCAACCACCCATCTGTCATGACTGGTGCAAAGTGTCTGGGGGCTGTTTGTGGTGGTGATTTTAGTGCCAACGTTTATAAACGAGAGACCTCACAGAGAATCCAGAGGTTGGCCTTCGGAGAGCGTCACTCTGAGGATGTGGCAATCCTGGCCTCCATTCCCCAGTGGACCCTTGAGACACACCGTGGGAGCCGCGGTTTGCCACAGTCCCTGCCACTCCCCACTGCCCCGCGTCTGCTCTGCTCACCTCACCTGCCTGAACCGCGTGTCCCACCTTTTGTCTCAGGCTGGACCTCCCTCGCTTCCTACAGAGCACCCCTGTCCCCTCCTCCTGTCTCAGCTGAAACACAGGAAGGGCTTGCTGGGCACCGACTCCACGATCGGTGGCCAGGAGCACAGAATCAGAGCCAGCCCCGGCCCTTCCTCGCTGTGTGACTCCCGCCCTGGGCCTCAGTTTCCTTCTCTGGGAAATGGGAATAACACCGGGATCCGCTGTGCGAGGCGGGTGTGAAGGTTGGATCAGAAGGTGAAGACGCGAGTCCTTGAAAACAAGATCCGGCCCTCGCTGGGCTCTGCCTGAACCCTCAGCCCTGGTCCCACCCCTGCACCGGCTCCCCCGTGCGACAAGCTGCCACCGCACCCCGCCCCCACCTCCCACCTGCCCGGGCGCGGGCGCACCTGGTGCTCGGCCTGCGGGAAGCGCTCTGCCACACAGACGCGCAGCTGCTTGAAGGCGCGGCGCATGGCGGGCGGGCAGCACCCCACGGAGCCCACGATGGCGTCCACGATGGCCCCCAGGTAGCCAGTCAGCAGCCCGAGGCTGCTCTCCCGCACCTGGTCCTCTGAGGGTGCACCCTTGAAGGAGATCCTCCTGGGGGACCAGAGAGACCTTGTTCTGCTGGCTGGAAACACCTCCCCGCCCCTGCACTGGTACTAGGGATTGAACCCAGGGGCACTTAGCCACTGTGCACAGCCCTTTTTATTTTTTATTTTAAGACAGGGTATCGCTAAGTTGCTGAGGCTGGCCTCCAACTGGCAATCCTCCTGCCTCAGCCTCCCATGCTGCTGGGATCACAGGCGTGTGCCGATTGCGCTTCTTGCTGTTGCTTGATCTCCCTGAGCTTACTCCCACCTCTGGGTCTTTATACTGGTCTGGGACATTCTTGTCTCTATGTTCAGCTTAAATGTTACCCCCTCAAAGCAGACATGCCCCTTTTCACAAACCTGGTTTAGTGCATTTTTAGTGGGGACAGGAGAGACACCTGCCCCCACCACAGGGCACTTGCACTTGCTGATCCCCCTGCCCAGAACATTTTTCCACCAAATTTCCACATGACTCCTTCCTTCGCTGCCTTCAAGCCTTTGCCTGAATGTCCCCTGCCACTAGCCAGGAGTATCATGAGCCCCTCCCAGTGTCACCCACCCCCCCACTGACCACCTCCAGTGACCTTCAGGTTGATGATAACCTGCCCCCCAGAGAATGGGGCTTTGTCCCCTCGGTTCCCAGCTGTTTCCTCCATGTTGGGCCCAGAGCCTGGCATCCAACTGCCATTTTGTTGAGTAGATGACAGGGTAGTGGCCCTCTCTCCCACATCTGTCTCCCTCCTCCTCTGAGGCCGAGGGTCTGCCCAGCCCGGCCTCACACTCAGAACACCCTGGAGCAGGCTGAAGGCTCTCAACCCCTCCTTGCCCTGGGCTCAGCCTCTGGCACTGTGTCACCTAACCCCAGTGAAGACCTGATTCATGAGGTAGCCCGATTGTTCCCTTTGAACAGATAAAGAAGCTGAGGCTCAGAGAGGTCCCCTTGCAAATGGGTGGCAGAGCTGGCCCTGGAATTCAGGACCACCAGCTCCAGCATCTGCCCCACCCCAGGTCCCAGGTGCCCGTCGAGTCTCCCAGTGTCCAGGCGAGCTGGGGAGAGCCCGCAGCTTGAAGCTTCAGAGATGGACTTTGCTTTTCTGCTCAGGGCCTGGGCTCAAGCTCCTAGTTTTGTACCTTCCCAGCTGTGTGACCTTAGGCAGACAGCCTTCCCTCTCTGAGCCTCTGTTCCCTCAACTGTAAAAAGGGGGCCTCATGCCTGACTCTGAGGAGGCTGGAACATGTGGCCAGGGCCCAAAGGGAAGGAGAGACCCTCTGCTGTCCCCACCAGGGCCCAGCAACCAGCTCCTCTGGCCCTGCAGAAGGGGAGAAGATTCTGGAAAGAAAGGAGGAGGAGCCCAGAGGGGCATGGATGACTCCATCCGGGCCCGCTCCCTCCCTGCCTCACGGGGCTTTGGCTGGTTCCAGGGTCAGTCCCTGGGCTCCGCTCACCTGGCCCGGCCCAGGTCCATCTTGCAGGGGTCCAGCTCCACGTACTTCTTCTCCTCGAAGATGCGGCTGACCACTGGCTTGAGGACCTCGTGCAGGTAGCGCATGCCCACGAGCTGGGAGCAGGGGCACCACACAGAGCGGCTGAGGGCCGGGGAGGGGGACCCTGAGCTGGGGACAGGGGCCCTGCAGGGAGAGGGTTGGGGGCCTGGCATGCCCACGGGCACCACCCAAGGAGAACCAGCCACCAACCCCAGTACCCCAGCTCAGCCACCAGTGCCACCAAGGCCAACCAAGCTCTGGGGCCCAGGTGGCATTGGGAGGGGAGGAAGGGAGTCCCCAAGGGAGCGGCCCTGTCCCCACTGGATGCACAGACTCACCTTCATGAACTGCTCCATGGACTTGGAAGCCAGAGAGTTGGAGCGGAAGAGCGTGTTGGGGTCGGCTGCGGGGAGGTGAGCGTCACTGGGTCTGGTGGCTGCACCCAGCGGAGCCCAGGTGCCTGAGACTGGGGCCCTGACCCTCCTGGCCGCAAGTATCAGGGAGACCCGAACATGACTCTGTTCACAGTACCAACCCCAGAGGGGTCAAGCGAGCTGCCCGCGGTCACACAGCTCCCAGGTGGCCAGACCAGGGCCTGGGCCTGGGAGGCTGACTGGGGGGTGCGCAGCAAGGGACCCGCAGGAAGGAACCGCAGCCTCAGCCCGAGGCCCTGTGCTGCCCCAGGGCCCCCGCAGACCCTGCCCCTGGAGGACAGGCCGGCAACTCACTGGTGCGGGCCACCTCTCTCCGGGTGAGGTAGCCCAGCAGGGGCCCGGCCAGGCCCTGGCCCAGGAACAGCTTCACCAGAGTGGTGGCCAGGTCCCGACGGCAGTCCCCCGAGGCCACCTCCTCCAGCACAGCCAAGGGGCTGGCAGTGTCCTCCTGGGCAGGGACAGGAAGCCAAGAGGTGACCTGGGGCCCGGGACCCCCGAGCCAGGAGCCCAAATGGGGTTCCCTGGGTAGGGGGCGCACCCACCTCGGCCGGCGCCCTCACGGCGTCCAGGAGCAGCGCCCTGAGCGGCTGGTAGCGCCCCGAGGGCAGCACGCGGTCCTCCGAGAGCCGCACCTTCAGCCGCAGGGCCCCCAGGCTGCCCCTGAGGGACGAGAACACAAGTACGCATGGGCAGGGGGACCCTGGCACTGGGGCCTGGGCAGGTGTCACAGCCTGGGTGGCGTGCACACCTGGGGACAGGTGTGGGCAGGTGTGAACTGAGGCCCGCAGGTGCAGGCAGGGAAGGACCCGGGAGACCCCGTGGCCAGCAAGAACGAGTGTGTTGGGACCCTCGGCTCTGAGCCCACATCAAGGTCGCCCCTGTCCCCCCTGGCCAGGAGACGGGGGAGGTGGACACGCTGGACACAGCTCATCCAACAAATGTGGTCACCAACAGAGGACAATGAATAAGGGGCACTGTCTGGGGCTGGCCAGCGAGGGCCCGCCCACCGCCCGGGGACCCGCCCCAGGGGCCAGCCAGCCCCTCCCCCACACCCACACCTACCCAGAATCCTCCTCGGCGCTGGACAAGGGCAGGAGGCGGAACCAGCCGCTGGGCGGCTTCTGCTGCAGGGTCTGGGGCGGGAACTCCACCTGTGGGGACACACCCCTCAGAGGGCTCCTAGAAGGCCTCAGGCTGCCCAGCCACAGGGCGGAGGCAGGACCTGCCAGGGATCACCTCCACTCTCCCAGTCCCAAGTCGTTAGCTCCTGCCAGGGAACTTGGGGCCTCCAGGGGACACTGAATTTACAATTGAGGCAACTAAGGCCCAGAGAGGTGGTGTGACTTGCCCAGGGTCACCAGGCTGCTAGAGACAGCAGACTGGACTGGGTCATCTTCAGCTGTTCAGAGATGCAAACGGCAACATCAAAAGGCTTCAAGACAGTCCAGGAGACCCCTAAGTCCCCGCCCTTCCCTTGTGTCAAATGACAAGTTTTTAGAGATAGACTCCTTCAACTGACCCCTTTAAAGTGCACTCCATGGATTCTCGGATTCTCACAGTTGTGCGATCCTCCTATGAATCTCAGAACATTCCTTCCCATTCCCTGGAAAGCCTCACTCCCCAGCCCAGCCCCTGGCGGATACCTCGGCCCTGTGTCCACCTCTCTCTGTCAGTGGAATCCTATAGTCTGGATTCCAGTGGACTGACTACTTTCATTGTCTTCAAGTCTTATGAGGTGTATCGTGCACAGGTCAGTGTTTTATCTTTTTTCGTAGCTGAATAATATTCCACTGTATGGGCATACCACATTGTGTTCATCTGTTGGTGGATACTTGGTTGTTTCCACTCTGGGCCACTCTCAACAATGCTGCTATGAACATTCATGTCAAAGTGTTTGTGTGAACACGGGTTTTCATTCCTCTTATGTGTACAGGGGAACAATTACAGGGTCATATGAGAATTCCATCTTCAACGATTTGAGGACCTGCCAGACCATTTTCCACCGCTGGACCATTTTACATCAGGACAAGCAGTGCGGACATCCACCTCCCTCTTACTTACTCTTGCCTCCTGCTATAGTCAGCCTTGAGCATGCGCCCCCCAGGGACCATCCCAGTCACCCTGCTGTTCCCCGGAGGCACTGGGGAGCCACGGAGGGTGCTGCAGGGGCGGTGCTCACCATGCCCAAGAAGTCGTTCTTGCCCACCATGTCCCAGTCCCAGAGCTCCACTCGCAGCGGGGACGGGGCGCCGGGCGTCGCCCGCAGCTCCAGCACCTCGTTCCAGTGTGGGAAGCGCGTCTTCTTGATGGTCTAGGGGTGCGGGCGGGTGGTGAGGGGCCAGCGCAGGGCCCCGCCCCGCCCGCGCTGCCACCTGCTCACCCCGCCCCTGCTCACCGACGTCTCCGCGCTCTGGCCGCCCCAGAACACACGAGCGAACGGGTCAGAGGTGCCAGAGATGTCCCGCGGGGCCAGGTCCCTGGGGACAGACCAGGGGAGAAGTGAGGGCACTGGTGACCCACGAGGACCTAGACCCAAGCTGGACCTTGGGCAGGGGGCTCAAGGTCACGGTTCCAATGGCATTGGTTTCCGAGGCAACCTGCGGTTCTGCACAGGGGCCCAGCCAGGGCCCACCAGGCCTGTGCAGACCCCAGGAGCTTCCGCACCTCCCACGCCCAGGGAGAAGGGACTAGCGAGTCCCCCTCTTCCAGCTGAAACTGAGGCACAGAAAGGTCCAGCACACGGAGGTGTGGTGGGGAGGGAGGGGCCTCGGCGACCCGCAGGCCCTACAGGACGACTCTTTGGCTGGGGGACACTAGGGAAAGTGAATGCCCCTCTCTGAGCCCCAGTTTCCTCATCTGGAAAACGGCAGAAACAGCAGACCAATCCTACGGCCTGGGGTGAAGGAGAGGGAGATGGCCGAGCCCAGGGCACAGGGCAAGGACACAGCGCCCAGTGGGTGGCGGGCCTCAATCACTCATTCACTCAACAAACATGCATGCCCACACCCGGCCTGGGAACAAAGAGAAGGCAGGAGACGGGGACCCTGTACCTCCCATTGCCATGACAACTCAAGCCACACCCCAGTCACCATCCCCATCCCTCCCTCTTGAGGCCCCCAAATCCTGGAACACCCCCACTGGGGGCTGCAGGCTGCTCCCTCCCCAGCCCTGCCGCATCCCAAGCCTTTGGTTTCCTAGGAGCCAACACAGTTGCTAAGCAACAGCCACCATCCCTCTCCTGCTCTCACTAGGCTCCTGCACAGTCTTGCGGCTGGGGAGGGGGCCACGGGCAGAAAGCAGCCGGAGCCTCCTTAGCCTGCCCTGCCTCCTTGAGGCTCCTTCATCCTGACTCCGGGAGCCCCAGCTGGGACCACGCTGGGGCAGAGACCTGGAGGTGGAGGCAGAGGCCCAGAGAGGGCAGTGAAGGGATTCATGGTCACACAGCAAGCTAGAAATGGAGATCCTCCCCCCTCTGGATGAGCAGCGGCCTAAGAGTGAGGGTGGGGAGTGAGGGAGGAGGGAATTACAGTGACAAGTGGGAGAAGGAAGGTGTGGGTCCCCTGGACCTGTCTCTGTCTTCCCACTGACTTTTCTGGGCCAGGACCACCCACCCCGCACTCTCATTTCCATCCCTGGAGTGGGCTTGTGACTCAGGCCTCACCAAGCAGACAGAGCCACGGTTTCCAAAGTAGGCCTGGGTCCCACACCCAGCCGACACTACTCGGAAATGGTGAGAAATAGAACTTCTCTGTCAATTGGAGCAGCTCGTTGGTAGGATGCCAGCCTGGGACCGCGAGGACCCTCTTGGGAAAGGCTGCCTAAGACAGAAGCTACCACAGAGGACAGTGGAGCCAAAGACTTGTACAGATCCCTGATGCCGCCCTGTGAGCACCTGGATCCAGCCAGACCAGAAGCTACATGCCCGTTCCATGAGCCATTAAAATAGCGCTTCTGATTAAGCCAGTCTGAACTGAGTCGGTTATAATCGGATGAACATCTGCCTGGCCATCCTGAGGAGAGTCTAGCCTCTTATTGCCAATCACTGAGCGCCCAACAAAATTGTAATTCCATTTGCAATCTGTTGAGCTTGGGCCGTTGTCCACACAGCATCCCAGCTGGGAGCTCAGAAGAGCACCAGGTGAGAGGAGGGAGGCCAGGCACAGGGGACACCCAGGGGTTCCTGCTCATTTTTAGAACTCCCGCCCCCTGCCCCATGCCACCTCCATCAGGGCCATACCTGGCTTGAAGCACGTGGCAGCGGAGACACCGGCCGCGGGCATCCTCCTGCACCTGCACCGCCAGGCAGACCTCACCTTGCACCTCCGCGTCCGGGTGCACGGGGCTCAGGTTGATCCAGCTGTCGATCCCTGGAGGGCACAGGCGCTAATGCTGAGTGAGCCCCCACGGGCACCAGGCGCCGGCTTAGCTTAAACCCCAGAGCCTGCAGCTCATGTGGAGCTTGGGCCCAGGCAGCCTCCTCCTGCGGATGCCATGAGTCCCTGCTCAGATGGCGAGAGGGAGGCCAGGTAGAGACCCAGACCCCACAGCTAGGAAAGGGCAGAGCTGGAGCCTTGTCAGGGACCCGGATCCCTCCTCCAGCTCTGGGAAACCCTGGGCTCTTTGTTCTGCCCAGCTCACTCCCTCTCCCCCCGTTTGGAGCTGCAGTTGATTGGATATTAGACCTTCCCCGTCCTCCTCCAGGCCTCTGCCTGCTCTTCTGCATCTTTCTTCTCCTTGTTCCCTGAAATGGATTCTGGATGATTCTTCTGGACTCTGGTTCACTGGGCTCTCCCTGCAGCTCCGCATGAGCTGACGTTTAACTTGGTTTAGGTTAGAATTAAAACCAAGGTGAACTAAAAACCTAGTATTGGACTTCAATAGTTGTAATTTTCTAGAAAAATTTTGTTCAGTTACTTTTTTCTGGGGGGATGGGGAGGGGTACCAGGGATTGAACTCAGGGGCACTCGACACTGAGCCCCATCCCCAGCCCTATTTTGGATTTTATGTATAGACAGGTCTCACTGAGTTGCTTCGCTAAGTTGCTGAGGCTGGCTTTGAACTCACGATCCTCCTGCCTCAGCCTCCCCAGCTGCTGGGATGACAGGTGTGCACCACCGCACCCAGCTCATTTGGTTACATTTTAAAATCCACCTGTTTATTCACGTTTTCATTCATTCATTCATTCATTGTGCTATTGGGGATCAGACCCGGGCCGTATGCATGCTAGGCACACATTCTCAACCAGACCTGCTTATTTTTCTTTAAATTATTGCTTTAACATTTTGTTGTTCATGTCGGTCTTTCTTGTGGCTACCCATTTTATTTCTTTAAATATTTGACTTTTTAGCCAGGCGTGATGGCGCACGCCTGTCATCCCAGCAGCTGGGGAGGCTGAGGCAGGAGGATCACAAATTCAAAGCCAGCCTCAGCAATGGTGAGGCACTAAGCAACTCAGTGAGACCCTGTCTCTAAATAAAGTATAAAATAGGGCTGGGGATGGGGCTCAGTGGTTGAGTGCCCCTGGGTTCAATCCCTGGTACCAAAGACATAACAACACAATCTGAAGCCTTCGTGACCCTGGAACCCATGGCGCTTGGTGATCATCCACGGTGCAATCTTGTCTGTGTGACCTTCCCCTGTGGGACACCTCGGGGGTGTGGAGCCCTGGAGAGGGGCACTCCCTGCACACCCTGGGAGCCTGTGAGGGGCTCGGTCTCAGGGGCTGTCCTTGTTCTGGGTGACTGCCTCGTGCCCCCAGCCCACACCTTGGACTCTGCCAACACGGATGCTGACGTCTGCTCCCAGGGAGACCCTTCCTCGTCCCCTGGCTTGCTCCTCCCCCCCCTGTAGGTTCAGCTTGTGGCTGAAGGAGGGGAGACACTCAGGGAAGTTCCTTCTAGACAGCAAATCCAACAAGATCCTGGGGATGCTCAGTGACTGGGGATCTCCCGTGATGTGGCAGGAGGGCACGTCTGAAGTTCCCTGTGTTGCTGGACGCAGAAGTCCCCCATCTAGCATCTATCTCCACGTCCCCACCCCCAATCCAGGATGTCATCGGCTTCCTGTCACTTGATCATTGCCACAGACCCCTAACTCCTCTCCCAGGTCTACCCTTGTCCCTTCGGGTAGCAGTAACCCCAAGGCAACCACAGGGACCTCCTGAAGACACACTCAGGCCCTGCTGTCACTCCTCCTTCTGATAAGCTAGCTCCCATCTCTCCCCTGTCTTGCTCAAGAACCATCAACGGCTCCCCATTGCTTTCGGAAAAAAACCCAGACTCCAGCCTGCATCCACAGCTGTCTCCGTGGACCCCACCCGGCTCTGCCGAGGGATGACTCTGCAGGAGTCCCCAGGGGCCCCTGGACCCTAGTGGCTTCCAGAGCCGCCTCCTCCCTGTGCTCTGGGAAACCTCGCTTGGCCACGCCCACCTTCATCACCCCGCCCACCGCCACCTCCACGTGCCTGTCCAGCTCCCACTGGGGGACACTCCCGGGCCACTCTCTCTCCTTGCCCTGTTCTGGGGAGAGGCGCTTCATCTTCCTGTCTAGATCAGAACTTGGGATCCTCCCGCCTCAGCCTCCCAAGTGGCTGGCTTACAGGCGTGGCTCACAGCCCCCAGTCCGTATTTCTTGTGCTGTTTAGAAAATCTCTAGGGCTGGGGTGTGGCTCAGCACGTGGGAGGCCTGGGTTCCATCCCAGTACATAACAGAGACAGAGAGGGACAGGGAGGGAGAAAGAGGAGAAGATTCTAGAGGGGCCCTCGAGACGCTGACCACCCTGGAAGAAGCCGGAGTCCCTGGGAAGGAGGAAAATCTCGCTCCATTTGATGAAGTGAGATGCTCAACCACGTCCAGGGGTGAACTGCTCAATGCATGGACTGAATTTGAAGGTGAAGACAGAAACCACAGCGGACATCATTTTCCACCAAGGGTGCCCCTGCTCACCTCGGGGGTCAGCCGTGATGGCCTCCTTGCTCAGGGAGATCTTGCCGATGACATCGTCGTGCCTGCGGGAAGGCAGAGGGGAGTCAGGGAGCAGCGGCAGCCCTCAAGGGCTGGGCGGTGACCTCATGCCTCACCTCCTGGGCACCCCGCCTGCCCCCACTCACCCAACGGTGTCCTCGTCCAGCACGTACAGGGCCAGGTGGTGGAAATCCAGGGGCAGATGAACCGTGTACTCCTCGCCCCAGAAAGGGCTCAGGCTCCTCCAGATGGTGGCTGTTCTGCAAGAGGCAGGAGGGGAGGCTGGGCACCCTGAGACCCGGATGCACGCTATCATGCCCGGTGTGGACTGTCCCCCAAAGGCTGTTGTCCTGGATCGGGGGCTCACCCTTGCCCCTGGATTCACCCACTGAGGGGCAGCTGGGAGGCGGGCAGCTTGACTCCGCCTCAGGCCCAAAGCTAGGGAGGCCCCACCATGGACTGAGACCCTGTAACCTGGAGCCAAAATACACCTTTGCTCCTTCAAGTGGTTTTCCTCAGTAATTTTGTCACAGCAACAGGAACCCACAAGCACCCACCCAGGGACACACATGTGCATGAGTACGTGTGCACACACACATGCACAGGGATACACACGGACATGCAGACACTCCCAGATACACCAAGGAAGCCAGAGACACATGCGTATGGATACACATATGCATGCTCAGAAATTTCTAGAAACACATTCATAAATACAGTCACCCAAATAGACACGTCAGAACACAGAGACACACAAAGACCCAGAGACACTCACAAACCACAGCTATACACAGCTCACTCACACACACACCCCACACACACACACACTCACACCCACCCAATTCCATTTGCTCCTTCACTCCATGGCCTCCACCCAGATTGAAGGAGCAGCCTGGTGATTGGGGGGCGCTCCACGTGTCCAGGCGGGTAAGGTGCAGGAGAGAGGGGTGGGGGAGGGGGAAGTCTTCCTGCAGGAGTTAGTCAGGCAAAAAGGAGCAAGATGATGAGGACAGGTGGTCTAGGTGGCAGGACAGCATGTGCAAAGGCCCCAAGGCAGGAACGAACGTTTCAGGAAAGTGTTGGGTGGAAAACGAGGGAGCGTCAAGGGCCACCGTGAAATCAGAAGGGGCAAAGCACCCGGGGTTTCACAGCATGCAGCAAGCCAGGGTGACCACAGGGGGCTAGGGACCAAGACAAGCAGGCAAGGGGCACGGGCTCGCAGCATCGGGCCCTGGCAGCCTGCAGACGCACTTCCTCTGACCCAACAGGGAAGAAAGAATCGGCTCAGCCCACTGAAGATGCACCCAGAGTCACGGCTGCAAATCGGGGGCTTCCTCCCTGGCGCTCCCTTCTCGTCTTGCTGGCCCAAAGGAGAGCGCATGCGCAAGTGCACACACGTACCGCCCCCCCCCCATGCCCAGCCCTGGGCACCGTCCTCCCAAACGGCCCCACCTTCCACCTCAGCGTCTTCCCACCCAGGTCCCCTCAAGCTCCCCACCCCGGGACCCAGGTGGCTCCTCACAACCCAAAAAAGGGGGACTCAGCAGCCCAGGGTCACATGAAAAATCAATCTGTGGGTCTGGGGCAGCATCACGGGACAGGGCCAGGGGGCGCCTGGGCACAGGGAGAACGACGCAGGTCAGCCAGGGTGCTGCAGCTGACCCCCAAGGTGGCCTCCCCACCCCCACTCCCGGCCCATCTGGACCAGAACTGGCGCCAGAAGCATCCTGAATCCTGCCGTCTCCATAGGAACCGAGGCCTCCCGCCCACCTCAGGCCCGCGGGGGCTGAGCGCTGTCCCTGGGCTGCGGGTGGGAGCCCCGCACAGCCGGCGCCACGCCCCCTTCAAAGACCCGTGCACTGAACACGACAGCTCACCCTCGCGGGTTCACTCCCGTGTGACCAAGTAGGCGGGCCCTGGTGCTCACGTGTGCACACCTGTGTATATCCATGTCATACGCCACACACGGGCACACACAGCCCTGTGGGCCTGCACACCCACAAGGACAGCCACACATGGTCATACGCACTCACACCCGCTCTGCGACACCCACACCCACACTCACAAGCAGGCCATGCGGGGCAGGCATAGCCGGATGCACACGCGCTCACACACACGCGCACAAGTGCCCGCAGCACCAGCAGGCCCGGAACAGCCAGTCCAGCCAAGCGTGTGGTGCCCGCCCCCAGGGAGGCCACTGTGGGAGGCACAGACTGGCAGCGGCTGAGTCAGCCCCAGGGACGCAGCAGGAGCATCGCAGGTCTCAGGGAAGGGCATCAGTGGCCAGTGGGGCTGGATGGGGACAGCAGCTGGCAGCCTTGGCCATGGCAGAGAGTGGCCACCTTCAGCCCACACATCGCCTGTGGGGTAACAGTGACCTCCCAGCTCCTCTTTAAAATGTGGGTTCCCATTCCTGGATTCCAGGACTGGAAAGCATCCCCCCCCCAGCTCCCTGGGCCCCTCCTCACCTAGCCACCACCTCGTCATCCACTTTCACGAGGCAGTAGGGGTCGCTGCTTCCAGAGCTGTGGAAGAGATGGGAAAGGATACCCATGGGTGGGAGTTCCCATCCACCTTCATTATTCAGGTAGGGCGAGCCAAGGCCCAGAGAGGGGAGGAGACTTGCCCAGGGTCACACAGCATGTCGATCAGAGGCAAGACCCATAGCATGCCTGGCCCACCACACGCATGGGCTCTGGGCTTCCACTGCAGAAGTGGAACACTGAAGCCAGAAAGTCCACTCTAACAGCCAGGAAGCTCAGAGCAGTGGCCAAGAGCTTGCACTGAGGGTCTCGGACTCTTGGCTGCACCCTGCCACCACCCGTGGTATAAGCCTGGCAGGTCCCATCCCCTCTCTGGGCCTCTGTTTTGCTGTTCTAGAAACTGGACATGGCTGAACACAAGCCTCTTGGGGGTTGGAGGGACCAACGGACAGAGGGATCATGGGCCAGTCCCCGAGCCCTCCCTGATGGGGCCCCCATGCCACCTGCTGGGACAAGCACCATCCCCCAGATCTTCATTTTGGGGGTGTTTCCCTGGAGAGCAGAATCCCCATCCTCAGCAGGATGAACCTACAGGCACAGGCTGGGGACCCCAGGGGACGTCTGTGTGGCCTCCTGCAGCTGGTCAGCTCTGGCCTTCCTCGCGACAGCAGCTACAGGGAACCCTAGGCTGTCCCCATTCTAACCTCCTCCAAAGGCACCTCCTCAGAGGGCAGCCCTGACCACCAGGTCCTGCAGGCCAGGCGCGCGGCTGCTGAGGTCGCTGAGGCAGGACTGTCTGGTCCCCTTTCCAGGCTCCACCTCGGAACTTCCTTCCCAGGGTGCCTAGGACTCCTTCCCCCTCCAGCTCCATCCCACCTGCAGGACTGGGTGACCCCAGCCTCCGCTCCCCCACCCTCTGGACCCTGTGGCTGAGTGACACCTGTGCCTCCATGGCCTGTGTGGGGCTCTTTGTCCCTGAGCCTCCCTTGGGCAGAACCCACCCTCAGCTTCCCCAGCGCACACATGGGTCACCCCTGCTGGGACCCACCAGCCCTCCCCATTGACCCGGCCTGACCCCAGGTCCCTCGTGGGAGCCAAGTTCCACACGTCAACCCCGGGCTCTGACGCACAGTGGCCTTATCAGGCCCCTATCGGGTAGGGGCGGGCCTCGTCCAGACCCTGATCTCCCCAGACTCTTGGCCTCTCCCACGGCCCCAGCTCAGGCGCGGCAAAGCAGCCCTGCCCAGTCTGTTCTGCGCACTGCGTTGGCCAGCATTCAAAGCTGAGCTGTGCCGCCTCAGGCAGGTGACTGGGGTCCTCAGTCTCCCCATTAGTAAAGCAGAAGTGCAGAGCCTAGGGCCTGGCCATAGGAGCCCCCATGACTGACAGCCTGCATGAATCATGACCACTCCACATGCCCGGACTGAGAGGGCACTGGCCACCAGGAGCCCCTGCGGCACAGCCACCCCAAAAAGCAGGGTGGCTGGATCCCCAGCTGGGCAGAAAGAGGCCCCCTTGTCCTTGCTGTGGGTCATCACCCACCTCAGAGCTCACCTAGACCAGGAAAATCGAGGGAGCAGGGGTGGCCGGGAGAGGCAGGAATGAGATGTGCCTCAAATCCTTCCCTAGAGAACCAGGAGCCGAGGCCAACATCCTGGCTGGCAGAAGCTGAGGCCAGCGTGCTGGCCCAGGGACAACACTGGCCACCTCCTCCCAGGACTGACAGAGGAGCCAGACCTCAGCAAAATGGGCAGCCACTTTCTGGCCGGGGCCCTTCAACTCTCCAGCAATGGGCAGGCGCACCCCTGGCCTCTGCCCCACCAGGTCCATAATCTCTACTTCTCAGGAACTCTGAGGACGTCCCAGAAAGAGGGTGACATAGGAAACACTTGCGCATTTGCTCTCATTGCAGTCTGTCTGGGGTGGTGATGGGAAAGGGGGTGGCCGGGTTGCTCTAGTGTGAGGCGGGGAGGCAGCAGGCTCCCGAAGTCAGAGGCAGGGTACTCCTGGCTGGGGTCCACAGCTCGGGGGATTAGGGCAGGACTGAGCCCCAACCTTGGCATGGGCAGAGGCTCCGAGCCTGTGTCCCTGCTCCCATCCTGCCACAGGTACACCCTCCAGGTCCCCCAAGCTCACAGCTGTACCTGGGATCCAGATGGAGACTCCATCCAGAGCTCCCTCAGCCCCAGGGGAGGGAGACCCAGGCCCAGAGAGAAGCAGGTTCAAGGTCACCCGGCAAATGCCCTCCCAAGGATTCCACCGCTGTCTTGCAGCTGCCACCCTCAGGACCAGCAGGATGGCCCCTCCCCCACCTCGTTCTGCTGATTCAGCAACTGCTGACTCAGCCTGGGGAACCACAGCAGGGGCTGAGGCTGAGGGGACCCCAAGGGTCCCCAGCCCCATCACAAGGGCAGGGGAGAGGCTGGAGGGGCAGTTGACTCTTTAAGTGGCTGAACATCCAGGGAAGGCCACTGGGCTGTGGCAACACTGGGTGCTCAGGGCTCTGAGCCCTGAGGGCCACATGGGATGCTTTGCAACCTGAAGGTGACACACACAGATTGTTGGGGCCCTTTTGATCCCCACCCTCTGGGGCTCCTCCCTGAGGCCCCGTCATGGCCACCTCCCCACCCCCCTCTCCCCACCCCCCAGGCCTGGAGAAGAGGCTCCAACGGCCCCTGCCTGGACTGAGGAAGACACCCTGCAGCTCCCTCCTGGCTTGGATAGAATTCCCCGGGGCCATCCCCGAAGCACGTCCCAGGGACAAAGGTCCCCATCCCGGGCCAGGGCGGGACAGGTGCCAATCCTGGGTGCCCCTCCCAGGGCAGCGGTGGGCAAGGGGCCTCTCGCCCGGCCTCGCGAAGGCGGACTTGCCCCCATACCGGCTCCCAGCCGAGACCCCCCGTCCTCCCGCCTAAGCTCCCCGCACGGGGACGGGCGAGTCCAGCCCACCCGCGCCTGGCGCCCCTCGCCCCCAGGCACCCGGGGTACTCACACGTCCTTGGCGGGCAGCGCCCGGCCCTCCACCACGCGGATATTCAGGGAGCTGCTCTTGGCCATTGCGCCTGGCCCCAAACTTTGCGGGCAGAAGGGCGCCCAGGTTCCGAGGCTGGACCAGGGGCGCCTACATGTCACCAGCTGCAAGCTGGCAGCCCTGCCCCGGGTCCCGGCGCCACTTGTCCGAGACGCGCGTAGCTGGACGGGAGGTTTCCGAAGGAGGAGCAATGGTTGCCCGGGGAGGGGGCGTCCGCCCGGACTCCACAGGTAGTCGCCGCGCTCCGGACAGGCGGGGCGCGCGGGCGGGGACCCTCGGCTCTTGCCGGGCGCCTGGGGATCGGCGAGGACCGACTGGGCGGGCAAGGGGCGGCCGGAGGCCCAGGTCCTTCCCCCCAATCCCGCCTCCCGCGGGGTCCCCCGCCCGCCCTCGGCCCGGCTCGCGCGCCCCCTGCCGGCACCCCGGTGGCGCGCGGGAGCTCACCGGCTGCGGCGACCCGGGTGCGCCCGGGCGGGCTCGGCAGGTGGGGCGGGGCCGCGGCCGTGATGGGCGTGGCCATGGCTCCGGTGAAGTTGGCCTCGGGCTCCGGAGACACAGTCGTCACCTGCTGGTCCCCGATCCAGTGCGGTCCCTTCTCTCCCGCCCTCCAGGCACCGCCTCCCGGTGCAACCTCCCGGGCTCGCCCAGGAGCGGCATCCGCGGTCGGCGGGAGGCGTCGCTAGAGAGAGTGGCACCTTCCCTGGGGGTCCGTCCAGAGTCCAGCCAGGGACCCCGAACGTCCCCCTCCGTCTCCTCTTAGTTTGCAATGAGCCCTGAGTGTGACACGGCTCTCAGACGTCACGGGCTGGCACTGCGGGGGAGGACGCCACGGCCGGAGGGGGAGGGGAGCTCGGAAATCACCGCTGCCACCACGGTGATAAGAGCCAGTAGGTCGCTGGAACGCTGACCGCGTGCCAGGCAGTGTCCCGCATTATCTCGGCTCAGCCCTCCTAAGAACTCGGTGCTCTACGCACTGCTTAGTGTTGCCCCCATTTTGTGAATAAAGAAACTGAGGTTCAGAGAAGTTAAATGGCTTGGCAGACATCAAAACAGTCAGTGACTGGTTTGCCTTCCTGGGTTCGAATCCTGGCTCTGCCAGTTGGCGGCTGCATGGCCTTGGGAAAGCCAGTTACCCCTCTGTGCCTTGGCTTGGTTTTCCCTCATCTTTTCAGTGGGGACTACATGGTATCTCACTCCCCAGGCTTTGAATTAAATGAGATAATGTGCCCAAGGTCTGAGAACAGTGATAGACACCTTGTAAGTTTTCAGTGAGTGTTTGATATTATCATTGTCCCTCAAGGTCCAACTAAATGCCACGTCTCCTGGGAAGGCTTCCAGGAGGCTCTTCCAACACAAGCAGAGATTTTCTTCCCTTTCTGTCTGCTACCATGGCTCCAGGTTTGTACATGTGACAAGTTTTTAATGAGATAATGTGAGCAGAAGGGCCTGTCTTGGGGTAGACACTTAGATTTATTTTTTCCTGACAGCTCATTGTGTGCTTGCTCAAGACCTCTTAGGCTGGCACGGAGCCTGGTCCACTCAGGGCTGGGCACCAACGGGAGGGCCCTGCAGCACGGAGCACAGTCAACACCCAAACCGGCAGGACAGGGAGTGCCCTGCCCGGTCACAGGAGCCACCTAAAGGTCTGCTTCCTGAGCTCCCCCCACACACCCCAGCCAGGCTGGGAAGGATTCGGAGCCCTGGACTTCTCTCCCCAGCTGGTTATGCCTCGTGAGTCCTCCTGCCCCAGAGACTGGGCCTCAGTGGCCGCGCCCGGGAAATGGACCAAGCAGAAGCAGCCCAGGGGCTTGCGGCATTAACAGACCCTCAGGAGGATTCGAGGCTGGATTCAGGGTAGGACCCAGAACCCTGGTAGCCCCAGAGGAGTGGTCAAACTCCTCCCCCACATGGTCTTCAGCAATCACCCCAGATTGCCCCCAAAGTAAGTGTCCAATCCAGGAGGAGCCCAGTACGTGCTATGTGGCCACAGCTTCTAGACAGGGTCCTGCGCCACCCCTCCCCCTCCTGGGTGGGAGCGTCGGGCTGACCCCTTTCCTCCTGGGACCAGGGAAAGGCCATCCTGCACCCCGGGAGTCCTGGGGGAGCCCGAGGGGCCCATCTTCCTGAGCTGAGCAGGGAGTCCATTCCCCATCACCCCACCAGGCCCCCAGGGAGAATCACCAGAGCTACAGGCAGCCAGGCCCCCCCAGGGAGCCAGCTCCACATCTGGTGTCTGACCCCTCAGTGCACCTGGGGCAGTGGCCACGCTCCCTGAATGTTCCGCATGGCCTGGCCACTTCCTGTTGTTCCAAGAGGCTGTGACGGGTGACTGGCAGAGGCTTGGAGTTCTCCTAGGACAGCACCTGTCAAGGGGCCAAAGGGAAAGAGTGGTCCCCAGAGGTGGTATGACCTGCTGGGGCCACCAGCTGGGAAAGATGGATGGGAGGCCTGTTGTTCTCATGGGTTATTATGAGAGTTAGTCAGGAGAGAAGGTTAGGTGCCTGGTGTCCTTCCTGGCACATAGTAGGTGCTCAAGAAACAGTCAAGCTCCTCCCCACCAAACTCCTTAAAGGCAAACCTACAGCGTCTTCTTGCCTGCTCTCTATGTAGTCGGCACCTGTGGGCTGCAGACAGCAGATCTTAAGGGGGTGCAGTGCTGGCCTCCAAGTCCAAGAGCGGAGGGTTTAGGTCATGCTGACCTGGATATCTGTAGGTAAGTGTGCTCCCTCTTAGTGTCTCGGTTTCCTCATCTGTAAATTGGGACTCATATAAGTACCACCTCAGAATGTATGTGAGCCTGGAGTAGAGTGTCAGATGCTCAGCACCGCTAGTATACAGCAAATGCTCACCAGTGTCAAGGCCATGAGGGGACATCCTGATTCCACACCTGTGCCTGATCCCGAGCCCCACCTGGTGGCTTGGTTTTGAGGCCACCTGGGTGCCGATGACTTGGCTGGGGTGCAGCCCCAGACCTGGCCCCAAATTCCTGGGATGAGTGACGCCAGTTTTCAGGGATCAGTGCTGTTCCAGACTGCAGAGTTGGAGGAATCTGGAGATTTTTTCCCTGCTGAAAAATCTGATAGAGAGATCCCAGGATCAGGTGCTGGCCGCCCGGGGGGGGCCTCACTGCCCAGGCCTGGCCATGTCCTCCCACGTCTAACAGGTGAGCCAGGGCCCACCAGAGCTCACGGATGGAGCAGGGAGGGCTCCTCGTGCTGAGGGGGGTCAGCCTGGGCGCGGGCAGTGCTGAGCAGGCCTGTTCCCACCTGCTGGTAAGATCTCAGGTGCACGTGACTTTCCAGCCCCACGGTCAGTAAAACCACCTTGGGAACTTAAAATTGGCCACGATAGGAAAATTTACACCATGGAAATTGGCAAACTTTTTTTGAGAGTCGGTTTACCCACACACCACTGGACATGGGACTCCCCAGCCTCACGGGCCTCTGGAAAACTCCTGAATTCAACCCCCTTAGTCTTTCACACACACACACCCGAGTCCCACCACCTCCTCTCATCTTCCTTTTTTGATATAAGTACATAAGTCCTCCCAGTACAACTGAAAAGAGGTGAAAGGACATAAAACACAGATATCTATCTGCTGGGCGCAGTGGCACACACCTGTAATCCCAGCTGCTCAGGAGGCTGAGGCAGGAGGATGCCAAATTCAAGTCCAGCCTAGTCAACTGAGAAAGATCCTGTCCTCCCAGAATTTAAAAACGTGCTGGGAGTGCATCTCAGTGATAGATACTTGCTGACCATGCTTGAGGTCCTGGGTTCAGTTCCCAGAACCACAAAATCAATCAATCAATCAATCAATCAATCAATCAAGCACAGATATCAGTGTAGCATCAATGCAGTGGAATATTACATGACTATTAAAAAGGATATTCTCAAAGAATATTTAATGGCAAGAAAATATTTTTTAAGATGGTGAGGGGAAAAACATCGCATTCAATGCCATAAAATAGTCTGTGTGTGTGTGTGTGTGTGTGTGTGTGTGTCATTGTCACTGACTCTTCAACAGATTCGTATTGAGCGTCTGCTGTGTCCTGGACCATGAGGATAGAGCGAGGGGACAGTTCCACTCTGCTTTCCTGGGGCTCTCAGAAGAGTGCAGGAAATGGACAAAAGTAATAGCTATTAAGCTGGGTGCAGTGGCGCATGCCTGTCATCCTAGGGGCTCGGGAGGCTGAGGCAGGAGGATCGCTTGAGCCCAGGAGTTCAGGGCGAGCCCCGCAGCAGAGAGAAACTCCAGCTTCATGCTTGCTCCAGTTTCTGAAGAGCCGCCATCCTTCCTGGGCAGCCCGTGCGCGGCCCACAGGAAGCCCCAGGAGGGGGCGGGCAGACAGCGCCACCCCTGCCCGCGTGCCCGGCTGGCCCAGCTCCCAGCCCGGTCCTTGTTCTCTGGTTCCGTGGTATCTACATCCTCATCTTATCTCCTAAATGTCAGGGACAACGTCTGATTCATGTCGCACCTCCCACGCCTCTTGGCACAGAGGACTCGCCACACTCGCTGGGTGAAGCAGAACTCGGCTCCCCGGGGGGTTGGGGCCAGCCTCTTTCCGTCTGTCTGCGGGTCTGTCTGTCCCTCTCGCGGTCTATTACTTTTCTGTCCTCTCTGCTCTCGGTGTTGATGAGGGTGGCTTCCTCGTACCCTGCACGTCGCCACTCTCAATCCTCTAGACCTCAGCCTCCCCTCCTGGGAAGTGAGGCTCCTTTTGAGGCCGAGGCTGGGGCAAACGCCAAGCCTGCCTGTGGTGGCCGGGCGGGACTCCAGGCCCGAGGAGACGTGGGAGGAGCGGGCAGGGTTTCCAGAACCCGCCTGTGCCAGCTGCCAGGAGGGAGGGCTGCTGCTTCCCCTCCTCCCTGAAAACAAGGTGTCTGTCTCCCGGTGCACCGGCTCCCTCCCGGAAGGCCCCTCTGCCCAGCCTCGGAATGGAGAAGAGGAAGGGGAAGCCACCCAGCCTGAACTGGGGGTGGGGCAGTGGATATTTCCAGAGCTGGGGGTTTGTGGCCAAGGGCCAGGCCAGCTGGAAACGGTGTCCTACTGTCACTC